GGTGGGCACTGACAGCAGCCCGGCCACAGGTGTGGTTCCAGAACCGGCGGTCGAAGGAGCGGCGGATGAAGCAGCTGAGCGCGCTGGGCGCCCGCCGGCACGCGTTCTTCCGCAGCCCGCGCAGGATGCGGCCCCTCGGCGGCCGCCTCGACGAGTCCGAGATGCTCGGCTCCACGCCCTACACGTACTACGGAGGTGAGGGACGGCCCGCGGGGTCCCTGCCCTGTCCCCACTCCTGCCCTTTGTTCCTCCCACCCCGCTCCCCGCGGGTTTCCCCTTTCCCCCGCCCGTGCGCACACGCGTGCCCGCAGCCGCGCACACGCACGGCCGGCCCCACGCACCCCCCCGGCATTGCGGGGCCCCTCTCCCGCGAACAAAGCCCCAGCTGCGGGGCTTTTGTCCCCCTTTCAGGCCGCATTTGTTCCAATTACCGCCCGGGCCCGCAGCATATGGAAGGTCAGTGCGGGCCGGCCGCCCCGGCGGGACGGGATGGGCGCAGCGGGGCGGCCCCGCGCCTCCCCTCTCCCCCAGCTCCCCGCAGAGCCCCCCCAAAAGCTGCATTTTCAAAGCCTTCCATCTGACCGGGAGCTTCCCCGGCACCCCTTGTTGCCCTGCAGTTAGTTTCTAGATCACTTCCAAGCTGCTTAAACACATATATGAATTCCACATTATATATATATTTTTAATACATTTTGTCCTATTATATATAATTTCTCCAATGTGCATATATATTTTTCCATTATATAAATTTTTCCCGTTTTATATTTATTTTTGCCCATCCTTTTTTATATCTATATTTCCCCCATTCCTTTTTTATATACGTACACATAAATATGTGCATGTTAATTTTTTCCCCCTCTATTAATTAAGCACTAAACTGAGCCCATTTCCCGGCCCCTCACCTCTCCCAGCCCGGATCCCCTGCCCTCCCTCGCTCCAGGCTGGGCAAAGAGAGGATGATGGGCAGTGCAGCTCTTAGGACGGGCTCGCTCCTCTCAGGTGGGATTTAAATCCCAGCCGTCCTTTGGGAGCTAGCAGAACGTTTTGGAGGGGACGGCACAGGGCGGATTTAGAGGGGACAACGAGGGCTTGGGGCGCAGCGGGATTTCGGGTGGTTTTTACCTCCAGGAGACCATATCCATCTTTTTTCCCCTCCCTCCCCGCAGATTACCAAGGTGACTACTACGGGCCGGGAGGCAACTATGACTTTTTCCCCCACGGGCCGCCCTCCCAAGCCCAGTCCCCGGCCGACTCCAGCTACCTTCAGAACTCAGGACCCGGCTCCACACCCCTGGGACCCTTGGAGCCCCCCCTAAGCGGACACCACTCCTCAGAAAACCAAAGGTACACGGATATGATCTCGCACCCCGACACCCCCAGCCCCGAGCCGGGGATGACGGGCTCGCTGCACCCCATCCCGGGGGAGGTGTTCAGCGGGGGGCCCAGCCCGCCCTTCTCCATGTCCAGCAATAGCGGCTACAGCGGGGCTCTGTCGCACCCCAACCCGGAGCTCAGCGAGGCGGCGGTGTGGTAGGCCCGGCCCGGGCACGCGTGTGCGTGTGCGCAGGGGGAAACCCCCCCCTGGTCCCCCCAGCCCACGCGTGTCCCCCTCCTCGCCCCGCAGCAGGGGCCGGTAAAGCCCTCCCGCAGATGCCAAAACGCATCCCGGCATCCGCCCGTCCTCCCCATCCCCGCACCCCCCGGGAGCTTGGGGCCACCCCGCTACCTCCCACATCCCGGCACCGTCCCCCCGACTCTTTTGGGGGGCAAGGAAAGGTGCCCAGCCCTGCAGAGCCCGCCGGCGGCGGGACCAGCGCCTCTCGGACCAAAGCTGAACTCGCCTGGACACGGCTCCCACCGCCCCGGCGGCACCGGGGGAGGGGCTGCGGCAGGGCTCCCCTGCTAATTAGCGTCCTTTTTAATTACCCCCACCACAGGAAGGGGGGGAATGGGGAATAGCAGGAATAACCCCCCCCCCCTCGCGGCCCCTCCCTGCCCTCATTTTTATTGTTCCCGTTTCACCCCCGAGGAGAAGGTGGGCTCGGTTTTTGGCGGTGGGGAGGAGGGGGCTGTGCGGGGCTGCCCCAGTGACTGGCTGAGGTTGGGCTCCCACGTGGTGGAACAGGCAGGAGCAGGAATAAAAAACCACAACAAAACCAACAGCAACGAAATAAAACCCCCAAACAAACAATAAACCCCAGAACTAAACCGACCCAACCACAGCCGCAGAAATTTCACCCGAGCCTCGACGCCGAGTCCCGCCCCGACGATTCCCAGAGGCTCCGCCAATTTAAGGATGTATTATAGTTTTTGCTTCTAGTTTCTTTATTTTGTATAAAGGAGAAACAAATAAAGTATGTTTTTGTGTTTACTGATTATTTATTGTACTTTAGTCATCGGAGGCTCCGAGTTTTTCTATTTTGAAGGCAGGGAGGGGATGGCACCGGGGTGGCGGGGGGGGGGGGGGGGGGGGGGGGGTGAGAGCATAGAGAGAGGGGGGGGAACAAAAGGAAGGAGAATGGAAAAGGAAAGAAAAAAGTTGTTTTCTGAAAGCGTCGTGGGTTTCCTGTCCCCGCTGCCTCTTGCGGAGGCTGTTAGTGTGAATGGCTCTTGTTGTTCAATGTGAATAAAAAACCTTTTAGTTACCTACTGTTCGGTCACCTGGTCCCTTTCATTTTATTTTATTTTAGTTTGTTTTAACACAAGCCCGTGAGAGATGCTGCCCGGGCTCTGGGGGAGCAGTGCCCCGGGTGAGCCATGTGCACCTGGACAAGGTGATGCTGCTGCACCTCCACCCCGTACCCCAGCGCTCCCCAGTTCCCCCCAGTCCCCCCAGTTCCATTCCCAGCTCAGCCCCTTCCCCGCAGCACAATGCACAGTTTCTTTCTCCCGGGGGGCACCCAAGACCCTCCCAGAGCAGCCCAGGGGCACCTGCAGCCCTGCTGGCAGAGCAGCCTCGGGGTTCAGTTGGGGGGACACCCCAAGTGGGGGTTCAGCAGCGCCATCAGCAGCTTTTTCCCCATTTTCCCTGGGCATTCTGGCGCCAGGAAGGGGGAGGGGGGTCTCCACCCCAGCACCCCTAACCCTTCTCTCCTGCTTTCTATCCTTTGAGATATAAAAATAAAAAGTCCCAGGCAGGCTGCAGCTCTGAACTAATATTTAAAATGCAAAATCATGGCAGAGTTTTTCGCCCCCCCCCCCCCCCCCCCCAACTCTCCCCCCCCGGCTCCTTGTCTTGCAGTAAAACGATATAAACAGAATAAATTACCTTCCCTTGCTGGCTTACGAGAGTCCCTCTCTCCTGACCTGAATTTTAAGTCCTGGCTCGGTTGTAGCACGGAGCACCGATGATTTATGGAAAGCCAGCCACATCTCTGCATATTTTCTCTGTTCAGCCAAGTGGTGGAATTTATCCTTCCTTTACCATTATTGGCATTAATAGCAGGGTGGCCAAGGAGCCACGCTGAGCCCCGAGCGAGCCTCAGCCAGGAGCTGGGGCCAGCAGGGACACTGGGGTTCCCTCAACCCCAGGAAAAACACCTCCCCTTTTCCCAAATGGGGAAACTGAGGCAGGAGCACAGCTGGCTGCTCCCCTGGGCTCCAGCACTTCCAGGTTGTCGGTGTTAGCAGCTAATGGGGAATTTTCATAAGGACAGGGCGATGTGGTGGTAAATAACCCACTCACAGCATCATTTTGAGGAGTATAAAATGGTCAATCACTGGGTGAACACTGGTTGCTATTATTATTATTATTAATATCATTATTATTCATATTATTATTATTATTTCAAAATTCAAGGCACAGAGCTGAGGGTTGTTTTTAGGCTGCTGGGACTCCCCATCTGTGAGGCCTGGATAGAAGAGGCTGCAGGAGGGATTGGGGATGATGCTCCAAGCTGCCACCTCCCAGGCTGGAGGCTCGCAGGAGGATGGGACTCTGCAGGAGCAGCCATCCAAGCAGGGAAGATCCCAGGGAATAATTCCCTGGCACAGAGGAGCTGTGCAGAAGCCAAACCCGGGGTCCCCATCACCTCAGAGGTCCCGGGAAGGTAGCAGCACTCAGGATTCCTGCCTGTCTCCTGCTGCCCCACAGGGGTGTCCTGTCCGCCCTGCACCTCACATCCCTGCCAGGGACATCCAAAGCCCCCAGCTGGCACCCAAAGGCCAAGTGTCCCCTCCTGAAGAGGGGAAAAGCTCCCTGCTGGGTCACCCCAACCCCACAGTCACGCCCATGCCACCACCAGCAATGACCCTTCTGTGCTGAGGAGTCCCCATCGAGAGCTCCTGACTGCCCTGACACCACCCCCGAGCAGAACCACGGGAATAAATTGCTTTTTAAAAGCTGTTGGGCAAACACCAATGCTATTCGGTTTGGTTTTTGGTTTATTTTTTTTTTTCTTCTTCTTCTGACCTTCTTGCCTTTTTTTTTTTTTTTAAGAGGGAAGGTCTGCAGAAGGTGGAAAGTAATCAGGTTTTGGACCTGGGATAAAAAATAGCTGGAGTAGGTTGGGCTGACTCCTTATAATTAATAGTGTACCTCGTAATAGGATTCTCCAGCCTTTGGTGCTCCCTGGAAACACCTTTTTACATAAGGTATTGCTCACGATGGAGTGGCAGAGTTTTGATTTATGGGGGTTTGGCCTCCACGAAGCACCTGGGAAGGTGGCCTGAGCGGTGGGAGGGCCAGGGCCACGGGGCTGGGGGCAGGGAGGGGTTTCTGGGGGGCTGCCAGGGGAGAGGCCTTTGTGGGGGGATGTGGTGAGCTGCCCCTGGGGCTGGCACCCTTCTGCTCCAAAAAGGGAGGAGGATGAGAGGGGTTTGGGGCCAGCAAAAGGTTTCTCTCCCCGCTCAGCATCACAGGGCACGGGCTCAGCAGGGGAACCAGGTGGGGCTGGGGGGCACCAGCGGCAGCAAAACCCGCATCACCCGTCAGGGGAGGAAGGAGAGAGGAGAAATGTTGGGAGGACACGAAAAATACCCCAGGAGGCGCCACAGCAAAGGGCTAAAAGCAAACACAGCGCTACAGAGCGGAAATGTGGGAGAGCAGGAAAGCCTGGGGGAAAGGGAGAATGGGGAAAAAAGTGGGATGGGGGGTGAAAAAGGGACCTTAGGGGGTTTAGGATGGGGTATATCCCCTCCACAAGTTAGAGCGCCTCGGAGCCCGCAGCTGTTAAACCCGGCCGGGGATTCCCGTGGATAAATCACCGTAACAAGAGCGTTTCTCTCGTCTGGCCACAGCCAACGTGGCAGGAACGGGAGAGGATTGTAATAATTAATAATCATTACAATAATAATGCATAAAGACAGTAGCAAAGTAATTAGTCAGAGAGGGAGCGCTTGCTAATTGAGGTGGGGAGCTGCAGCCCGAGCAGCCTGGGGAGGAGCAGGGGAGGAAGGTGAGGGGGGGAGGAGGGTTGCAGAGGAGAATACCTGGCATGTCCCAGGGGAAAAGCGGGATGTGCCCCAGTCCCGCCCTCGGCACGGGCACCACCCTGCCTGCAGTGCGACCCCCGTGCCTCAGTTTCCCCATCCCTGCAAGAGGCTGCGTGAGGAGCCCGGCCCCACGTCCCCAGGCTTTATTTCGGTTCTTTGGGAAGGCAAGCAAGCGGAGCGTGCCAGGCGGGCCGTGCCACACGCCGTGCCCGGCGCGGGGGTCACGGCAGCCCCAGGCGGCTCTTCAGGGCCCGCAGCTGGGCCGTGTGGATGTTGCTGCCGCCGCACAGCACCAGCAGCACGGAGCGCAGCGGGCTCCGCAGCCGCCCCTCGCTCTGCAGCCGCCGCAGCCGCCCCGAGTAGAGCACGGCCAGGGGAGCCCCGCACGCCGGCTCCACCAGCATCCGCTCCTCATCTGCGGGGACACAGCAGGGCCACATTGGGGCAGCCACGGCGGGACAGCTCGCCCGGTCCCCAGAGTCCATCCCCATCACCCCGCTCACCCAGGAACCGCTCCACAGCCCGCACGGCCTCCGCGTCCTCCACCACCTGCGAGAGCACCGGGCACTCCCGGGCGCACTGCAGCGCCCGCGCCGCCACCGTCTTGGCTCCCAGGCAGGTGGCCACGCTGGCGAGGCCGGGACAAGGCGGTCAGGGCGGGGACACCTCGGCCAGCCCCGCCGGCTCGCCGCACGGCCGCTGCTCACCTGGTGATGTCGGGCAGGGTGACGAGCCGGCCGGCTTTGAGCGCCTCGTGGAAGCTGTGAGCTCCCAGGGTCTCGGCGGCGATGATGGGGACATCCTGCCAGCCCACCTGCTGCAGGCCGGCCACCACACCGGCCAGCAGCCCCCCGCCACCCACCGCCACCACGATGGCGTCTGGTTTGGCCTCCAGAGAGTCCTTCAGCTCCCGGACCAGGCTGGCGTGACCCTCCCTGCAGGGGTGGGGGCAGGAGGATGCAGCCCGGGGGCTCCCCGCGATCCCGGGGACGGGGACCGGGGCAGCACTCACCACACCAAGGGGTGATCGAAGGGGGGGATGCTGACCCAGCCCTCTGTCTTAGCCAGCTCCTGGGCTCTGCTGTTGGCATCGTCCCACACCTGAGTGGGGCAAGGGGGCGCTCAGCAGGGCTCCACAGGGCCCTCACAACCCCGGGATGGGTCCCTTGTCCCTGCGGGGCTGGGGGACACCAGAACGAGTGAGGGATGCCGGGGTGACCCTGCTGTGATGCTGGGGTGCAGGGCACGCAGGAGGGGAACGTTTTGGGATGGGGTTTGCCAAGCACCAACGAGCAGTTGTGGTCAGGCCCAGCCCTCTCTGGACCCCCCAGACCCCACTTTTGGGGGTACCTTGCCGTAGACCTCGACTGTCGCCCCCAGTTCCTCCAGTTTGCGCACGGGGGTGGGGCCGCTGCTGCTGGGGACCACCACGGTGATGGGCAGCCCCAGCTTCCGAGCCGCGTAGGCGGCTGCCAGACCCGCGTTCCCTCCTGGGCAAACGGAGGGATCAGCCAAGGCTCCACCCCTGCACATCCCCGGGCTCCTCAGGAGCATCCCCCCAGCTCGGGATGCAGTTACCTGAGGAGCACACGAAGTGGCGGCAGCCCTTCTTGGCAGCCTGAAAGGCAGGAGAGAAAGAGGGGAGGGGACGGCTGTGTCCCCCCACGGTGCCCCCCAGGAGGGCAGGAGCAGCCCCCTGCACGCACCGTGCCCACACTCACATCCTGGCACAGGTGCCCGATGCCCCGGATCTTGAAGGATCCCGAGGGCTGGACGTTCTCCAGCTTCATGAAGACCTTGGTGCCCACGGCCTTGGAGAGGGACAGGCTCTCCAGGACGGGTGAAACGATGTGGAAGGGCTTCTGGCCCTCGACTGGCTGGGCTGCCATGGTCTGACAACGGATGCTCTGCCAGGGAGAGGCGCTGGAGTCACCAGCTGCTCCCCACGGGTCCCCCCCCGCAGCCCCGATGCCCACTCCGGGCTCGGTGCGGAACACCGGCAGGGACAGGGCTGTCCCCAGTGTCCCCTCCCATCTCCAGGATGCAGCAGCTCTCCCTGGAAGATCCCAGGGAGATCCCAGGCTGTGCCACCCCCTCCTCCATGCTCGTGGTCCCCAGAGCCCCGGTGTCCCCAGGTGGCCGTGCACAGCCTGTCCTGTAAGCCGGGCTGGCCATTACCTGGTGGCCCGTGGGACCTCGTGGCGTGTCCTCGGCCAGCGCCGAGCCTGCGCGACACCAAGGGAGCGGTGAAGGGAGCGGTGACGTCCGAGGGGCCGTGCCGGTGTCCCCAGGTGGCCGTGCTCAGCCGGGCAAGGGGCAGAGGTCGGACACTGGCCCGGCTCTTTGTTTGCTGTTTGTTTTCCAGGCTGCGCTGCTGCCCGGGGCGGCCGGGCACGGCCGGGCCACCCGCGGGGACAAACACGTGTGGCCCTGCCAGCCAGACCCCAGCAGCTCTCAGTGTCCGGGAGATGGCATGTGGGCTCCCAGGAGATGGGGGAAGAGGAAAGGCAGCTCACAAATTATTTTAGGGGCCCTCAAGGGTTTGCACTGGACAAAAACACGGACCAGCAGATTTTAGGATTTTGTCCCTGAACCCCTGGTGTAGCCAGGGCAGCCTGCACACCCCAAAACCCCAGCCAAGATGCCTTTCATTTCCTCCAAACAAGCCATTACACCACTCTGCTCACCTCCGTCCATGGCAGCCCTTCAATCCTCTCCAAGGTTCCCATCCCAGGGGGCTCAGCCCCTCCAGCTGGGTGAGACCCCCGGGATGAGCCCCCCGCTCCAGCTGGCCATACCAGGCACCCCACAGACAAAGATCCCTTAGAGAGGGGCTGTCCCAAGCGACCCAGCCAGAGGCTGGCCCAGACCCAAGGTCCAGCAACCCCCAGGCAAAGCAGGCAGAGCCCCCTCCCTTCCTCTGGGACCCTTCCCTGGCACCCAGCCCCGGTGACACCCCAGGGTAAAAGCCCTACCTGTGCTCTGAGGGGCTGGTTCTGCCCACAGCAGGCAGGGAGGAGGAGGAAGGTGGGATCTGGAGGAAGGGCCAGCCCTGGAACGCAGCCCCGCAGCCGCAGGAGGTTCCTCTGTTGCTCTGGCCAAGCTGAAGCAGCCTGGAAGCAGAGGGCACAAGGAGTCCCAAGGAGGGGACACTGCACTGGAACCAACACACCCCAAACGGGGTGCACTGGGAACCCCACACTGTGCCTGGTTCTGCCCCAGTGCCAGGCACACAGCAGTGAAACCAGAATATGGGATTTTGGTGCCCTGACCCAAACTGTGCTGCAAAACCCCCCAGAGCACCACTGCTGGCAGGCAGTGAGCAGGGGCAGAGCTCTGGGGCTGCCCTGCTCCTCACGGGGCTGATCTTTGGTGCCCACAAACCATCCCTGCTTCCCACAGCCTCCCTGGGCTCCCGGGAGAGCAGCAGGGCACAGCACCGCCCCTCTGCAGAGCCACGCTGCTTTGGGACACGGGGCCTGGAAAGGAGGGCAATGAGGAGGATTTCTTGGATGGGGGCATCGGGGGGGACCCAGCTCCAGTCCCTCTGGGGGCCTTTGGGGTGAACCCCCACCTCACAGTAGGCAGAGACTGCAGCCACTTCCATGAGGGTGGGACAGCAGCAGGAGCTGGAAAGGGGGGCAAAAAGCCTCCCCCAGCTCACAGGGATGAGGCTGGAGACCTCCTTGGGAGGACACCACGTTTCCTGGGGTGCTCCAGGGTCACTTTTCACCCCACCTCCCTGTGTCTCTTCTGCTGCCCTTTGGCTCCATCCCTGCCATGAGGAAGGCGTGCCAAGCTGTCACCTGGTCACTTCCCTTGGCCAGCGTCCCTGGCTGACACTGTGGCAACAGCTGGGATGGTATTTAACAACTTTTTGTTTGTTTTTCCACTTTTAAGGAAGCAAACAAAGGGAATTGAAAACACTGTGGCATTTCCAGCGTGCCCTGTTCCTCCTTGCTGCTCCCTCACCCAGTGTGGGCGATCTAGCTGGGGAAACTGAGGCACAGGGAGCCCAAAACCAGCCCCTCCTTCCACAGCAACCCACACACCGTGGGGACACGAGGGGACACAGGCTCTGCCATCCCAAACTCACCTGCCACCTGTCCCAGCACAGTGGGGTATGGCACCCCAGCTTCCCCAGGGCACCCATCAGTTTTTGGGGTGCCAGCACCCCAACTGCCCAGAAACGCTCCCTCCCAGCCCCCCGTGGCCCCCAGAGGCCCCCAGCCCCGGTGGGAACCTGATGCCTTCAAAGCGCTGCCGAGGCACAGCTCATTAATCCCCCGGTAATGACCTCGTTATTCCTAACGAGCCAGAGGGATCAAGGGAGCTGCCTAAGAGGATTTTGCACCGCGGGTTTTTGGGCACACAGGTGCCAGAGGAAAGGAAGATAAAAGGCATGAGGATGGTCTCCCACTCCTGGGGGGTGAGCAGTGGGGTCCCCCATCCCACAGCAGAGAAGCCTTCACAGCCTGCACCCCACAAGCCCGGCCCCAGTGGGCACACAGGCTCCCACCAGCAGAGAAGCAGATCACCCTGTTAATGGGGAGGGGACAAGACCCTGCTGAGCCCAACCCTAACAGAAGCCACCAGAGAACCTCAGCAGGGAGCAGAGCACAGCCACCAGCACTGAGCACTTTATTTACCACAGCCAAACCAGCTCACTGCCCTCCTGCCTGCGCTCAGGGCGAGCCCCAGCCTCCCAGCATGGCCCTTTTTTGGGAAGAGCCCCCCCAAACCAGGCTTCAGCACCCAGGGAAGAGCCTGGAGAGCCCCATGGCAGGGAGGGGACACGCTGGGCTTGTGCAGCACAGCCAGGTCCCTGAGAGGCAGAGAGAACAGGGGGAACCCTGTTACACAGAGCTGAGACCCCCCACAGGACAGACGCCCGCAGACGGACAGACGGACGGGACCAGCGCCTGCTCAGTCCCAGTGGACCTTGACTGGGGGGAAGGTCCAGAGGTCGGGGTGGCCCATGTGGAGCAGGGAGCTGCAGGGGGACGCGCTCCAGCGGAAGGGTGGCACGTCATCCCAGGCGGGGCCGCTGACCGCCACCAGCCCAAAGGTGGGCACCATGCCCGAGGAGGTGACCTGCAGGTGGGGACACGAAGCAGGGCAGCGAGTCAGCCCCGGGAAGGGGCTGCACGGCCCCAGAAGGAGCCCCTGCAGGCCTGCCCGGCTGGCACACCTTCATGTCGATGCCGCCGTGGCAGCGCTGGCGCAGGGCAGGGAAGGGGTAGGTGCCGTTGGAAGGGTTGAGGTCGGAGCGGGCGGAGATGGCGTTCTCGGCGTTCTGGGGCGGGTCACAGCCCTGGCATCGTGACAGAGGGTCCTGCAGGTAGTTGTTGGACCTGCAGAAAGAAGGGAGGGCACAGAGCCACGGTGAAGATGTGCAAAAAGCCCACGGATCATGGGAAATTCCTTGGGGGAGCAGGCGGGTTTGGGGGTGCCCAGCACACACCGCATCAGGTGGATCATGGAGTCCAGGTCGTGCACCAGCGTCTGGTTCCGGTGGAAGATCTGGGCACGAGGGTTCTTGTCATAGCTGAACCAGTCACCGTATTTCCTCACCAGCTCCAGGTTCCCACTGGCGTTGAAGATCTCCTCAAAGTACCTGGGGTGGGGGAACCCAGCAAGCTGGCACCAAGGGGGTGCAAGGTGAGCACCCTGCCCCTCTTTCCAGGGCAGGCCACAGGGCAGGGTGGCACTCACGGCACGTTGTAGCTGGCCCAGTAGCCCTGCTGGTACAGCAGCTTTGTCTGGTCAGCCACCACCACCAGGCCCCTGTGCTGGGAGGAAGAGCACTGGTCAGAGCAGAGGGGGGAAAAAGCCACTGGGGATAGTGGGGGACATGCTGGGCTGGGGGGAACACATCCTGGGGGTCCCCACTGAGGGGTTACCACCCCAGCCAGAGGTGCTGGGCACCCATCACCTCAGTACCAGCACCCCCAGAGCCTTTAGCCACACACAGGCCCCACTGCCCTGTGACAACCCATTGGGCTGGGCAGGCACCACCCTCAGGGTTTCCCAAACCCACAGGGATGAGAGAGGAGACAGCAGGGGCTCAGGGAGGAATGGAGCCACTCACGGGATCTGCTCCAGCACTGTCAGCACGCCCGGTGCCGGGCTTGCTCTGCCCGGGGTGAAGGCATTGTAGTCCACCACCATCCACTGGTTGTTGTACCTGGCATGGAGAGCAAGGGATGCATCCCTCTGGCAGCCTGGGCACCCTCCATCCAATCCCACTGATGGCTTAAATTTTAGCTTTTATATCTTTCAGATTCTGTGCTGCTTTAGTGTGTAGTTCTGAGCTTCATATTAAGATATGGTGAGCTCTCTGTACAGAGTAGCTAGACAAAACAATTCCTTCTCTACCTTGGGGCCAAGGACAAATGATCCAAATCTCAGGCCCAAGAGCACAAGCAATGTGGACTGAAGAGAGAAAAACAAGAAGGATGGGACTGCATAAGCTAAAGCTGTAATTGGACAATTAACTCCAATGTGCAAATGGAGCAGAACTGATAAAAGTGAGAGACCTCCTGACCAGTCATCCATTTTTGTGACCATTTTGGGTCCACCTTGGGTGCAGCCCAAGGCAGATCCATCGAGGCTTTTAATAAATCCCCGCTTTATTCTTTAACTCTGTCCAGCCTCTGTTCTAGGGCAGCCTTCCCAAGGCACCACCATCCCTCCAGGACCAATTCCCAGGCCCATCCCACCCCGCTCACGTGCCGCTGTTGAAGCGTCGGAAGACTGCGGCCCACTCGGGCCCACTGCGGGCCAGCCGGTTGGCCACGATGTTCCTCAGCCACTCCAGGACGCTGCCCCGGGGCTCCAGGTACTTCCACAGGGCCGGGTTGTTGTTCCCAATGGTGGTTTCCAGCGTGACCTGCAGGGCAGGGAGCGGTGGGGAGGGCAGCAGGGCTGGTGAGAGGTGCCTGAGGAGCAGACCCACTCACCAACCCGCTGCCGAGGATGTAGAAATCATCCATGGAGAAGATGGTGCCGGGGTAGGAGGAGAACACCTGGACGCTCCCAGGGATCTGAGACTTGCCTGGAGGGGGGATGCAGAGTGTCAGAAGGGGGGTGTGAGGCGCAGCCCCCCCAGCCCAGCCCACGCACCGCCGGCCGAGGTGTGGAAGGGCAGCGTGTACTTCTTGATGATGCGCAGCATGGCCTGGTAGGAGCTCCAGGTGTCGTGGGCCACCAGCAGGTCCCGCTGGCCCGGCAGCAGCTTCACCAGTGCCGAGCAGGAGCCCGAGCCCAGGACACGCTGAGGGGAGGAGCGGTTCAGGGCAGATTCCAGGTCCTCCAGGTCACCGCCCAGCTGCAGCAGCCTTGGGGGGAAGCAAGGCATAAGATGTCAGGTGAGGGATGCCCCAGGTCTGGAGCTGAGCTGGCTCAGAGCTCTCTGTCTGTCTGTCCATCTCCACCACACCCCAGTGCAGGCACTTGTGCTGGCAGCACCCTGGTAGCATGAGCAGGGAGGAAAGGGGGAGCACAGCAGTGGGGAAACTGAGGCAGGGACTGTGGGGGGAACCCACCACCCAGCCCATGGGGTGAGGAAGAGGACAATCTGCCTTGGCTCCGACCTGCCCCAGCAGCAGAAGACAAATGCCCAGAAAAGGTGGACAAAGTAGACTGAGAGTAGAACTGGCTGCTCCTGGACATGCAGGAATTGTCGCCACAGCACTCCAAACCCTGGGACAACTCTCCCCCACCTCTGAGAAGGAGCTTACAGGAAGCCGAAGGGTGCCAGGGTGATCCTGCCCCTGGGGAAGTCCAGGCGCCCATTGTAGCTGTCCTCCAGCCCCTTCAGCTGCAGCAGGGCCAGGCGCACCTGGGGACAAGGGACAGAGCTGTCACCCGGCTCCTGTGAGGAGGCAGGCTGAGAGGTTTTGGGGAACAGGCTCCCTCATTCCCCCAGGGCACAGAGCAGACCAGTTGGGTCCCAGTGCTGCTGCAGAGGCACAGGGGGGGAAGCGTCACTGTCAGCAAGGTCATGACTCAGCACCCACAGCCAAGGGTGACAAAGCCACCTCCTGTGCACCCCAACTGCAGCATGCGAGTGCAGCATGCAAGGCTCTGGCAAGGAGAAAGTCACGAGTCTCCTCTACTCACCCAGGAAGGAGGATGACCACATACCTGTCATCCTACCTGGAGCTGGGCCAGGACAGCTCGCTGCCCTGCACTACCCTCTGGGGTTACAGGCCCAGGAGCATCCAGGGGGTTCCCCTGCTGGGGGCTCCCCACCCTCACCTGGTGCCAGTACTCGGTGTCGTGCCCTTTCGCCATCTGCTCCTCCATCCAGGCCAGGTTGGCCTCCAGGTAGCCGCGCAGCTTCTGGCAGTACTCGCTCTCGTACTTGAAGGGGCCGCAGTAGCCCACCATGGTGTTCATCCAGTGCATGTACATCAGCTGTGGGGCAGGACAGGGCCGCGCTGTCAGCGCGGGGCCGGCCGGGCAGCGGCCGAGGCTCGCTCCCCTGCAGGCCCCCCTCACCTGCTCGCTGACCGCGGCCTCGGCCAGCCCGGCCGCGTAGGCCTGCAGGCTGTCATTGTACGAGGCGTTGGTGGCCACCTCCAGGAAGGCCCAGCTGTGGGGACACGGGCACGGGTGGGACGAGGCTCCCCACCGACCGCGGCTCCCCCGCGGCCGCCCCAGCCCCGTCCCGTCCCGCACGGGCCGTACCCGACGTGCGGGATGCGGTCATCCAGGCTGGCCCAGGCCACGGCGCCGGGGTGGCGGCCGGGGAGGACGCGCAGCCGCTCGGAGCCGGGCTCCAGCAGCACGGAGACATTGCGGGGCACCGGGGACGAGGCTGCGCCGGCCGGGACGGGGGAGAGCAGGGGGGAGAGCAGGGGGGAGAGCAGCGGGGACAGCAGCGGGGACAGCAGCAGCGCCCGCGCGGCCGCCATGGCGGGACACTGAGGGGCGGGGATGGACGGGGCGGGGCTTCGCGGTGGCCACGCCCCCAGCGCGCCATTTGATCGGTGGGGCGGGTCAGGATTGGGCGGGGCGTCTCTTGGCCACGCCCCCACAGCGACACCTCCCCCAATTAACGCCCACACGAGGCTGTGAACGGGGCGGGGCTTGAGGCGTGGCCACGCCCCCAGCGCGCCATTTGATCGGCGGGGCGGGTCAGGATTGGGCGTGGCGTCTCTTGGCCACGCCCCCACAGTGACATCCCGCATTATCGCCAACACGGGGCGGGGAAAGGGGCGGGGGTTGCGGCGTGGCCACGCCCCCATCGCGCCGGGGCCGTGGGACCCCCGAGCCCCCCACAGCACCCCCTGTTCCCCCCATGCCACCCCACAGTGCCACCCCACAGCCCCACACCCGCACCCACGCTCCCATCCCGCCTCTCTCCCAGCCCCACGCCCTCAGGAGAAGTGCGGGACACGCGCGGCCCCCGGTGCGAGCGGCCCGGCCGCGGCGTGTCCCTGCGCCCGGGGCGGGGGGCGCACACCGGGTGCTGCCGCTTCTCTCGGGCCCAGGGCCGCCGCAGCCCCGGCCTTGCGCAATTCCTTTCGCCTCTCTCCGGGCAGAATGCAGAACGCTGCTTCGGGGGGGAACGGGCCAGGGTGGGAAATGGATCTTTGAATCCCACGCGCTTCGTGGGGCTCCGGCCGTGGGGGCCAGCCTGCACCCCACAAACAGGGCACGGCGCTTGCACGGGGCACGCTTCAGGCTGGGGTGTCCCGGAGCTGGGGACACCGGTGCGGAGAGGGCCACCGGCCCCCCACACCGCACATGTGGGGTGTCTGTGGGGTGCGGGACCGCCGGCACCGCGCTCTGTGGGTGCCGAGGCTGCCCCACCACGGGACACATCCCCGGCCGCGGCTGCGCTGCGCCCGCCCGTGCTCAGAGGGTCCCCCCGTGGGGCCGTGGGTGCCCGCAGCACTCGGGGAGGGTGTCCCGGCCTCAGAGGGACTGCACGGAGCAGAGAGCCGCGTGTGTCCCCTCTGGGCGGGCAGCCGCCAGCCGCCTGGGGAGTGTCGCTGTCGCTTTAAGGGCGGAGGGTGGCGGTCCCTTTAAGGCGGGGGGGCCGGCAGGGCTCAGCGGCCGCGCACGGCGGCGGGGCCGCGCCGACACGGTGGGGCCGCGCCGCGGGTGGGGTCCCCGGGTACCCCCATCCATCCCCGCATCCCCGCCCGGCATCCGCCGCGCCCGCCGGGGTCCTGTCCCCGCCCGTCCCGCGGCCTCTCTGTCCCCTCTCTGTCCCCTCTCTGTCCCCTCGCTGTCCCCTCTCTGTCCCCTCTCTGCCCTCGGGTCCCCTGGTCCTTGTCCGTGGGGTGTGGGTGCCGTTCCCCCTCCCTCCTCTCGGGGTGTCCCCTGGCTGAGCCCCCCCGGCGGGGACGTGGCGCAACCTGCCCGCGGGAGGCTGTGCTTTTTTATCGGTTTTATTATTTTTAGCATTAACTATAATTTCCAATTTAATTATTAATTTTTAACCCCTCCTGGCCCCGCCCGGGGAGCGCGGGATGGGGCTCCGGGGGCAGCCCCCGCTCTCCGTCCCCGGGGACCGCTGCCGGTGGTAGGTGTCCCCGGGGCTGTCCCCGCCAGGGACCGGGCACCATGGGGCAGGGGGCCACGGGGCTGGCCGGGGTGCTCAGCCTGGCCGGGGCACTGCCAGCCGGGACCCCGCAGCTGCTGGACGCGGGGCACACGCTCCCTCCGGGCGGGGATGCTCTGAGCCACGCACGGGGCCTGGATGTAAGTCTGGGGGCTGCGGTGGGGTTTGGGGGGGATGCCGGGAGGGATTTGGGTGCTGCCGGGGTGCTGGGGTCCCGTCCCGTCCCTGCTTCCATGTCCCCGCCATCGCAGCAGGGATCTCACCAGGATTTCCTCCGCTGCTGCTTTTTCCTCCGAAAACCTCTCTGCTTGCCAGGCCGGCGCCTTCCCACGGCCCGGGGTGGGTGTGGGCTCTGTGGGGACACGGATGGGGTGGGGACAAGGCTTTCCACAGCCCTCGACCCACGCACGTGTGGCTCAGGTGGGGAAATCGAGGCAGGGATGACAGCGACCTGCCAAAGCAGCCCCACGGCAGCGCTTGTGGGGGCGGTGGGTGGCACTGTCCCCTCGGGGTGGCCGTGTCCCCTCGGGGTGGCCGTGGCAGCCCTCGGGGAGGGCGGTGGGTGCTCGGGGGGCCCGGCCAGGCACCCTCCCCTCTGCTCGGCAGTGCTGGGAGGTTTGGAAGCACAACAGCTCTGAGTGGTGCCACTTCATCCGGAGCAACCCCGACTGCCGGCTGGACGGGGGCTTCCTCGACTACCTCGATGGGGTCTTCTGTGTGTTCCCGCCCCGGGTGCTGCCTCTGGCTGTCACCCTCTATGTAAGGACGGGAAAGGGCGGTGCTGGGGATGCTCTGCTGTGGGGGCACATGGTGGGAACCCCACTGACCCCTCTCTGTGCTACCCCTGACCCCACAGGCTCTCTGGCTCCTGTACCTGTTCATCATCCTCGGTGTGACAGCAGAGAAGTTGTGAGTGGTTCACAGAGGAGGGGACTGTCCCCAGAGTGACCAGGAGCCCCGTGGTCCTCAAGTAGCACCATTACCTCTCTGTGTCTCCATTTCTGCCCTTCCAGCTTCTGCCCCAATTTATCAGCCATCTCCACCAACCTGAAGCTGTCCCACAACGTGGCAGTATCCTTGGCAAATCACAGGAGGGATGTGGGGGCAGGGCAGGGGAGCTGGCCATGACAGGGTCACTTTGTGTCCCCTCAGCACCTATTGGCAGGGCGAGCTGGAGGTGACAGCAGGACAAGTGGTCATGTGCTGGCTCTAGGCAGGAGTACACAGCTCCCCCACGGGGGGGAGGACACCAGGGCTTTTCCTTGATGTCCCCTCTCCATGGTGTCACCTTCCTGGCCTTTGGAAATGGGGCCCCCGATGTCTTCAGTGCTGTGGTGGCTTTCTCTGACCCCCGGACAGCAGGGCTGGCCATCGGGGCTGTCTTTGGTAAGGGAGCCACAGTGCCACATCCTCACAGGGTGATATTCTGGAGCTGTGGGATGTTCCCGTGTCCCGAGAGAGTCCCGCTGTGTTGGCAGGTGCCGGTGTGTTTGTGACCACGGTGGTGGCCGGGGGCATCGCCCTGGTCAAGCCCTTCACGGCCGCCTCCAGGCCCTTCCTCAGGGATGTCATCTTCTACATGGTGGCCGTCTTCCTCACCTTCGTCATCCTCTACTTGGGCAGGATCAGGCTGGGAGAGGCTCTGGGTGAGCGCTGTGGGAGCTGGGGGTGGTGGGAGCAGCCCGGGGGTGCTCCGGGGGCAGCCTGGGGGTGCCGTGACCCCCCCCATCACTCGCCCGCCTCAGGTTACCTGGGGCTCTACGTGTTCTACGTGCTCGCCGTGGTGCTCTGCACCTGGATCCACCGGCGGCAGCGTGGGGATGGGCTGGCCCCTCCCGGAGCCTGGGAGCCAGGTAAGGGCTGCCCGGCTGGGGTGGGACCCCCGGCGTGTTGGGGTGCCCTCCCAGTGGCCCTGCTTGCTCCTCTTCCCTGCAGAGATGCCGACAGATGTGGAAGAGCCGGAGCCCTCGAGCACGAGCAGCGGGGACTATGGTACGTGGTTCCCTGGCTCTGCTCCGTCCTCAGCGGTCCCAGAACCCCGCAGGCGTGGCTGAGCCCGTGGGGTGACAGCCCACGGGGCAAGGGGAGCTCTCTGGGGACACACAGGGAGCCCCCAGCCCGCTCAGTGCCGTGGGCCCTGGCAGGGGAGGAGTACCGGCCCCTGCTGCCCTCCCGGGAGACCTCCCTGCGCATCCTCGCCTCGGCCCTCAACCCCTTGGACTGCCGCAGGTGGAGGAGGAAGCCCTGGTACTGGCGGCTCTTCAAGGCCTTCAGGGTGAGTAGGGGGCACCACGAGCCAGGAGGAGCCCCCCGAGGGGCAGCCCCATCCCTGCTGGAGGCTCTGTCCCCCGGGGCTTTGCAGTGGGGATGGTGGGGTTGGGAGCAGGTCATGGGGCACCTCGCAGGGTGTCCCAGGTGGGTGTCCCCGTGCCAGGTGCCTGTGGAGCTGCTGCTGCTGCTCACTGTCCCCGTTGTGGACCCCGACAAGGATGACCTGAACTGGAGGAGACCCCTCAACTGCCTGCACATCCTCACCAGCCCCCTGCTCTGCATCCTCACCCTGAAGTCAGGCGCCTGTAAGAGCCTGGGCAGCCCCAGCTTCCAGAAGGGGACAGGGCTGAGATGGCCACCAAAGCCCTGGGGACTGCAGAGCCTATCAGAGCTGGCTCCCCAGTGTGGGGAGGAGGGATGGGCAGGGGAGAGCTGAGCTGTGTTTGCAGCTGGTTTGCAGCTGGATACACCCTCACAAGGCTGGGGGGCTTGGGTCCCCCAGCATCCAAGTCCTGAGGGGAAAATGGAGCAGGCCTGGCCTGTCTGGGAAACTGAGGCATGGAGGGGAGCAGCTCTGTGAGGGTGTAGGGCAGAGGTGGCATTAGGTGACAAGGCTTTACGTCCACCTCAAGCCTGGTGGGATCCTGTCCCAGCCTCTCTGTCCCTCCTCTCCCCACCATGTGCAGATGGGCTGTACCAGATCCAAGGCGTCTTCCCAGTCTGGGCACTGGTCACACTGGTTGCCTCTGCCCTGGCCCTCATCATCTTCATCACCACAAGCAATGAGGAGCCCCCCAAGTACCACTGTGTAAGGTGTCCCCCAGCCCTGAATGCCCACCAGGGACCGGCACAGCCTGCTCCAGCCTGGGCTGAGGGTCCTGGGGCAGAGCAGGAAGCTGGAGCTCTCTCCCAGTTCCCAATGTCCCAGGAGGGGTGCCAGGAGGTGTGCAGGGTCCTGTGGGATGTACACAGGGACCAGTTCTCTCCTCTTCCTGTCAGGTGTTTGCCTTCCTTGGGTTTTTGGCCAGTACCATGTGGATCAACGCCGCGGCCACGGAGCTGGTGAACATCCTGCGCACCCTGGGCATCATCTTCCAGCTCAGCAACACCGTGCTGGGCCTCACACTGCTGGCCTGGGGCAACAGCATCGGGGGTGAGGGCTCTGCTGCTCCCAGTGCCCCCCTGGCACGCCCTGGGGTCCCCTTGCCATGGCCAAGGTCTCCTTTTGTCCCTCCACAGACACCTTCTCCGACCTCACCATGGCCCGGCAGGGCTATCCCCGCATGGCCTTCTCCGCCTGCTTCGGGGGCATCATCTTCAGTATCCTGTGCATGCCAGGGCCAGCCTGCTGGCACGGGGGGCAGGAGCTGCCCGAGGTGCCCTGCCTGCAGCCCAGGGAGAGCCCCTTGTGCTGCGGGATCCCTGGAGAGCAGCGGGATCCATCCCAGGGCTGCAGCGCTCCCCCAGGGCAAGGGGACGGAGGGATTTGGGAAGGGCAGAGCCAGAGCCAGCAGCACCCCCCTGTCCCCACAGCTGCCCCAGCTGGGCGGGAGTTTGGGCAGGAGCGTGGCAGATTTGGGATTTGCCAAAGGGAAGGAGGGGAGGGGGCTGTGCCTCGCTCCGGTGGGTTTTGGGTGAAGCCTCTCGAGTGCTCAGGGCTGTATTCAGCACAGAGAGAGAACGCTTCAGCCAGGGGTGCAGGAAGGAGGATGTGGGGCAGAGGGATGGGCTCAGTGCTGTTGCCCCCTCGAGCTGTGCCGTGTGTCCGTCCTGAACGTGCCTCAGACATCCTGGTCGGCGTGGGGCTGGGCTGCCTGCTGCAGATGAGCAGCAGCCAGCCGCTGGTGAAGGTAAGGCCGTGGTGCCACGGTGACGCGGGCCGGGCTGGCGGCAGGACCCGATGTCACCCCACATCACCTCCTGTCCCCGCAGCTGGAGCCGGACAGCTCGCTGGTGTGGGTGCTGGCCGGGGCGCTGGGGCTGAGCCTGGCCTTCTCCTTGGTGACGGTGCCGGCGCAGTGCTTCCAGCTGGGAAAGGCCTACGGGCTCTGCCTCATCGCCTACTACCTGCTGTTCCTGTGCCTGGCCCTGCTCACCGAGTTCAGGGTCATCCACTTCCCCGCGCCCTGAGCGGCCCCGCAGACCCGGCCCGGAGCTCGCTCTGCCTCCCCACGCAGCCCCGGGGACAAGGGCACGGCGACCTCCCCGTGCTGCTGGAGCTGCCAGCCCGGCCCTCGGCCCCTGCCGCCCTTTGGGAAGGAGCTGGCAGTGCCCACGTCCTCCCCTCGCTCTCTTCAGTCATTTAGGGAACTCCGGGCAGCAGCAGCACCCAAACCTCAGCTCTGTGCGCTGGCAGGACCAGAGGATGGGGAAGCGCCAGCTCAGGGGCACGGCAGGGGAATTCTGCCTCCTCAGCTCCAGCTGGCCCTCCTCAGCCCCAGGGTGGCACTGCCACAGCCCTGGCACACATCTGTCCTTGGAAGGGCTGTCCCTGATGGCACCGTGGGCAGACAGGGGACACAGTGCTCCAGGGATACACTGGGTTTAGTGCAAGCAAAGCCTGAGGGAAAAACAAACACCAAACCAAGGGAGGCTGGTTTCCCCTGCTTTTTTTAGTAATGTTTTTCAACCTGAGTTTCAGATCCTACTTTTCTCCTCCTCCTGGGGTGGGCAGAGCTGTAGGAAAGGACTTGGAGGTTTCCACACACAGTGTTGACCTCTGGCAGGACAAGATTTAGGCACTGTAAAAAACTGCAATAAAAAACCAACCAAACAAGAAAAAAATGCAAACACAAACCCGACCTTGACTTTTGCCTGTTGCAAGGGCCATTCCTCCTGCTCTCTGCTGCTCTGACTCAGCCCTTACTCAGCAGAGCCTTGGAGGGCAGAGGGCCTGGGACACCCAGAGTGGCTTTTCCTGAGGGAGTGGGGAAGTGGTTTCCAGTAGCTGATGTCCCCAGAGCAGGGACGTGCTGCCACACTGGAAATGGGGTCAGCACAGCTCAGTCCCTGGGGACAGTGCCAGCAGGATGGAGGGGTGAGCTGGTGGCTCTGCTCCCAGCTGGAGGGTCCACAGGACACAGGCTGGAAAGCAAATGATCACCCCAGAGGGACACCCACATCCCTGCCCCAGGGGAGAAGGGGCTGTTGAGCAAACACCACAACTGTCAGACCTGGTTCCTCCTTCTTTCCTCCTGGGCCTGAAGCATTTCTCCTTTTTCTAACAGATACCAGCAGCTTTCACCAAAAAAATAACATTCCCTGTGCCTGCAGCTATTGGCTCTGCCCTGGTCTTGCTCCAGCAGCTGCCAGAACCAGCTGGGACACAATGCCCACTTCCTGCCACAGGCAGGGCTAAAGCAATCCAAAGCCTGGCCAAGGTCCCAGGACAGAGGTGCAGGGTGAAACACCCCTTCTGGCCTCAACACTGCACCGAGGCAGCCTTAAAAACCTGGCTTTGAAAGCGCTGGTGTTTAGGGGAAAAGCTGGCAGGGGGAAGGCAGAAGGGAAGAGAGTTCCCTTCTGCCTTCCTTTGTAATGTCCAGGAACAGGAATGTGAAGCAGCAAAATATTCCCAACACAAGCACTTGTCACCAGAGAGGGCAGGCAGGCTCCTCTTCAAACACTGGAAATGCTCCAGCTTGGCCAAACCCACCTCTGGAATAACAGGGGAAGGAGGAAAGGAAGCTGCTGCCTTTACGAAGCCAAGGATGCTCTTTATTAGTGCGCCTGAAAAAAATCTAGAGAACATCTGACAGACACGTCCATAAAATCGGGTTTTTTATAAACAAAACGCCAGCATACAAAATCCTGCAGTGCTTCCTCCCGTGCTCCCTACAAAATGATTGTCTCTGTCGTCAGTCTGTGGGTGGGGGGAGGGAGAGGAGGATAAATAGAAGGGGATGCCCCGTACTCAAACTTTGTTTCCTTCCAAAGTCATAAGGAAGAAGCAAACTCCTGCTGCCCTCCTTGGTTTTACAAAAATAATGAACACAGCGGGTATGTGGGGGAGGATCAACACCTTGGAGGCAGCACCCTGACCCCCAGCCCTCCAGGGAGCCCTTTATTGCATGATCAGCCCTCCGTGCCTTCCTCAACACAGCTTAAAGCCACAGCTCCTTTCACACCCAGAAAACACCCCCCAAAAATAAAAAAAAAAGTCACTGATAGCCCTGCCAGGAGAAATCAGCTGTAGGGGAATGTGGAGATTAACCACAGCCACGTTTTTTTCCCCAGTAACCTTCATAATGCTCATTCATTCTGCCCACAACTTAAAGCACAATCAAGACCATCTCCTGCAGGCCAGGACTAAGCTGGATAAACCTCCCGGGCTGCAACTGCACGCAGAGCAACTGCAAGAGCAACAAGTGCACTGCTCCTTAATTTGTGGTTGAATTTATGGTTTGGAAAACAGCCCTTTAAGGTCCTTCATGGGTCAGCTCAGAAGTAGTTTCATACCTGCAAGTATCCAGAAAGAAAACAAAGAGTTGCCGTGAGGCACCCAGGGAGTCTGGCAAGGGTTGGAGCAGCCACTGGTGTGTGTGTGCTGCTCTCCCACTCCTTCCAAGTGCTCCCACCGTGCCATGCAGGGAGAGATTTCCAGAAGGAGCTCTGGCTTGCTTCCCTCTGGAAGTCTCACCCACGCAGGAAATGCTCCTGAGCTGCCCGGGTAGGATCAGCCCTCTCCTGCTGTCCTTGTGCCACGAGGTGAGGCCACCAAGGAAAGCCAGGCATGTGGGACAAAGGGGATGGGGACACAGATCTCCCACTGCCTGGTGCACCTGGAAAATAGGTGCTCAGGAAGCTCCACTCTTAGTCAGAACCTGAGGAAAAATCAAACAGCAAAGGTGAGGGCACCTCCCAGCTGCCAGGGACTTCCAGCCCTCAGAACTTCCAGTGCTGACAGGGAAAAGAGAGACTTGGAGAGACAGGTTCAAAGGATCACAACTGCCACAATCCCACGGACGTGGCAGAGCTGGGAAGGGAACCCTTGTCCCACTTCCTCCTCATTCCTCAGCTCTCAGGTGCAGAAAAGCAGACAGGTGAGAAGAATCCTTGTCTTCCACGTTCCTCCCGCATCCAAAATCCAGGGGAACAGTGGAATTCTTCAGTGGATCTTCCCAACACCTGACTGAGCTGACCTTTTCCAGCCTGAGAAACATTCCTGCAAGGGAGGAGCCCCACTCTGTGCTGGGACTTGCTCAGCTGGAATGAGGACTGACCAGCAGGACTGTGTGATACCCAGGAGCTCTCTTTAACCCAGAGCCAGGCAGAAAAAAGCCAGACTTGGAGCTGCAAAACCTTCCACTCCTCTTCCCAGTCATTTATCCCAGCTAAGGAGCAGCCAGAGAGGTTTCACAGAGCAGGTGGCCAAGTGGCAGAGCCCAACAGCCACGTCAGCCTGCAGAATCCCCCTCTCTGAACAGGGACAGGAGCTCTGGGGTTTGCAGGGGTGACTCCAAGCCCAGGCAGTGCCACGGGCAGGGCTGACCAGCAGAGATGCAGATACAGCAGAGACAGGGTCTCCAAAGCCTGCCCCACCTCTGGTCATAGCATGATGAGGTGCTGGCCCTCACTTCTGCCTCGGATCTACTCGGGGACAGCAAAATTCAGTAATCAGAGCTGGAGCTGCTACAGGGAGTGCATCTAGGTGTGCCAAAAAGGAGGGGGAGGGCAGGCTGCCCTTCCAAAAGTGCTGAGATTCCACACCACCTGCCCTTTCTTTGCGCAAGGAAGGTGGAGCAGAAACAAAAACCCCACTCCCTGCTCCTTTGTCCCTAGGTTAATGGTACCCTTTGAGCAACAGGGATCTTCCAAAAGGGCTGAAGTTAAGCAGGTGACTTCAGCCAACTCCCTGTTGTTAATGGATTACACATCCCTTTCCCCAAGGTCTGTTAGTGGTAAGACAAGCAGCAGCAGCTGGAGCCTGGGAAGGGGCTCAGAGGGACAAGGGCTCTGTTCTGCCCAGATTGAGCACGGGCATCACGCTCAGTCTGTGTGCAGCAGCCTTCCCCTGAGCCCCCTGGGCCTCTGGCTTCTCAGCAACCACTGCTGGGGGCAAGATTTGATCCCTACACTGGTACACCGACAGATCTATATACACCCTCCCAAAATACAGGCTGGGGAGGAACACTCTGGGTTATTGCATAGAAGGTGGCTCGCGTTAGCTGGGCCTAAATGACAGTCTGGGAGCGCTGCCGGAGGCTCAGGGGCTTCAGAGAGCTGCTGGAAGCAGATGCAGGCTCTTGCAGTGGTGTCTGAGATTCCTCCTTCCTGGAGTGCTCTTCATACCATTCCTGCAGCAGGGGAGTAAACAGGCACGGGTCAGGCTGTGCGCCACACACCCCAAAAGGGCAGAGCCTGCTGTCACTGCCATTGAGGGCACATTTTTTTCAAGCACAGAGGGCTCTTTCCAAAGCCCTGGGTACAGCCTAACCTCCTGGAACAACCCAGCTAGCTGCAGCATGCCTGTGGTGGATGCACTGAGACCTTGCCAGCCACAGCCCAAGAAACTTCCCACCCTCAGGATGTCCCTCCTGAACACCCAGGGCTTGAGGATGGCTGTTCCCATGATGTGTGGGACTTGCAGGGCAGCTCCTGGTGCTGGGCAGCTCCAGGATGTCACAGACCAAGCACAACAGGCAGGAGGTTTCCCTGCAGGTGACCCAGCCCCATGGTAAATAATGTGCATTTTCCTTAGGGACACTCAAGATTCATCCCCAGTCTGTCTGCTCTGGGGACAAAGGACAGATTCAAATAAGATTGATTTTTTTTCGGCCTTATTCTTTCCCTTGGCCCCGGCCTTTTAATTCTTTTTGGCGTTGCCCAACCCCTTGGCGGAAGGTTCTTGCCCCGGGTTGGCCTTGGCGGGAGGTTGCAAAAATTCCGGGGATTTTGTTGTTTTCTTTTTTTCCCCTTTTGTTCGGCTTGCGGCCCGGGCGGGCTGCCTGGGACAAGCCAGCCTTGGTTTCTGTGTCAGACAGACACGCCTAAGCTCAAACACAACCACATTCCAGAGGTTTAAGAGCTCTGTGCTCAGCAGCCAAGCTCCAGGCAGACCAAACTGTGCTGACAGCCCCAGCAGACACCTGGGGAGCCCAGGGCAGCTCAGCACAGCAGCAGTGCTTGTGCACACCCCCAGCGTGGTCACTGTGACTGTCCTGACACACCTGCACCCCCTGAGGAGCTCTGATGTGCTCTGTGGTTTAACAAACCCCTGGGCTCAGAGGAAAGCAGCCCGCAGTGCTTGAAAGGTTGGGTTGTTATTCCAGGGAATGCTCTCACCACATGCTTGGTGGCAGCTCCAGCACATACCTGTATCTCCTCCTCGTACATCTTCATACTCAGGTCACTCTTGGTCCTTGACCTGCGTCCCAGAAACACCGTGGACATTTGCTAGAGAGTTGGGGCAAGGAGGAGGAAACACCAAAAAATACTTTCATCAGTCACTGAGCAGCTGGATCTGTCCTGGAAGTTCAAGCATCCTTCCTGTGGACACCCATCACCCCCTGATGAGCTCAGACCACCCCAGGCTCGTTCTGTTGTCACCTGGGAGGCTGCAGCACCTGCCCTGTGTCACGGTGACACAGGGCTACAAGGGCCATTTTAAAACAACCACTTTAACTCTTCCCAGATGCATGAGACAACACTTCTGAGACAAGAGCTCATTTTCCCAATTTAGAATGGTTTAGAATGGAAGCATAAGCAGTGCCATGGAGAAAGGAAGGATCTGGAATCAATGCCATCATGCTGCTGCATAATGCTACAGGACTGTCCAAGCTTCAGTGAATGATGGCACAGAGAAACAATCAGGAGAATTACGAGATAGTGGCTTCCTCAGAAATATGCTTTTTTTTTCCAGTCAGCAGGGGCCAGGACAGCTCTCAGGGAAGTTTCCAGGCAGCAGGGACCAGCCTTTTTCAAGGCTATTCAAGGAGCAGCTGCTGCTTTTCCAGAGCAGCAAAATTTTGTGATGCTGCAGAGTTTCTTCAACAGCTCAGCCCTGAACACTACACAGGCAGGTGGATCTTCTCTCTCCAGGCAGACAAAGTGGCCCTGGCACACCTCCCTCTCCTGAAGGTGAGAACTCACAGTGCTTCCTCTTACCCCATATTTGTCCATCTGCAACACGATCTTCTGCAGCTGAGCTGTTTCAGTGGCAGCTGAAGTCCTCTTGTACAGCTCAATTATGCCAATCACCTCCTCCTTGGAGATCTCCTTCTCCAGCACAATGCCATTATCTTCTGCAGAGGCAAGAAGCAGAAAGAGGAGGAAAAAAAATTCACCAAGATGAGCATTGCTTCAACAGCTGCTACCATAACCTTGGAAGGCAAAGCCTAAAGCACATAGGACCAAGCCAGAGGTCAGGTACAGTCTGCACCTGCCTTTGTGACTAGAACATGGATATGTTCAACCCCCAACAAGACAGGGACAAAGTTAACTAGTGAGTAGGGCCAGCAAACCTTCTGACTCAAACTATTCTCATCAGGCTCCTTGGTATCTTAAAAAAAATAAATGATCTTGCAGCTTTTTTGCTGGCCTCTAAGTTAAGAAATCAAATAATCACATAAGAGTTTCTGCCCTTTGACCTTTACCTGCCTAAGAGAGTTTTGGAGTCCAGGGCTAACCAATGTCCTTCACTGCACACTTGAAACTGGGTGCAGGAAGGATCACAAGTGTTTCCCTAATTAACAGCTCCTGTGCCACACAAATTTGATCTTCTGGCACCTAAAAACCCAGGGGAGTGGGGCCTTCACCTGAAGGAACAGCAGGAGAAGGGCTGTGAGCCATTAGTGTGGCTTTGGCACCTGAATTAGCAGGTCAGGAAGGTGCCTGCAGCTCCATACCCCCAGCTCAAAAGGAAAAGGACAGTGAGTAAGTGATGAGGGGGCTGCAGAGCCCAGTCTCTGCCAGTTCCTAGAGGAAAAGGGATGTCCAAACCCAGCACAGAGTCAGCAGCCATGAAAATGTGGGAAGAACTGGACAGGCAGTGTCTGTTGTCCTCCAGGTCACGGCAAAAGTGCTGACAAATCACCTTGGAGACACATTCTGCCACCAGTGAGTGCATTAATGAGGAAGGGAAATTGGTTTAAAAAAATTATCAACCTTCCCTTCCCTCACTGAACTTTGCTACATGATTGCTGCAATGTTTCCTAGAAGTCTTGCATGAAATGGACTTCCTATAAAACGGCCACGGACTTCCTGTTCTCAAAGAATTTGGTTGAAATGGCTCAAGCGGTTGAAGTTTGTATGTGTGTGCGTACACAAGCATACAGACATACATAAAACCCACACAAACACACCCACCCATGCTTTTTGGGGAATTCTGGGGGAGAGATGAGGGGCAGAGCACGAAGACCAGACAGAAGTATCACACAAAGATCAAGCTCAAGCAAAAGTACAACGAGCACAAGAATTAGCTCAGGATGTCAGGTTAAAATAAAAAAAATCTGTTTTTTTTTTCTGGGCAATCCCATTTTCTCCTAGAGATAATGTACCAGGGAGAGAAGACACAAGGCTGCAGGTCAGCCAGGCCTCAGTTCTGACCTTCTGAATCCTGGTTCTTCCGAGTGTAGTTCATGCGGAAGACAAAAGCGTCCAGGATGAAAGCCACGATGATTGTCATCACCACCATGGTCACAATGTAGAAGATCATGAAGTACAGACGGCTCCAGTGAGTGGTTTGGGAAGTCACCCCTTCCTAAAGTGGAGAGGGAAGAAGTGAGCAGTGCACCAAAGAAGGGAGAGGCAGCGTTAGCTGCTTGTCAACACATGCACAAAGCAGCAGAAACATAAACATTCTGCCGCAGGGACTGCTTGTGCAATGCTTAATGCCCCAACAGGTCCTTGCAGCTAAAAAGAGATGTTCCTACAGGCAAACACACAGAACATCTGATGCTGGTGGCTTTGGACAGCAGGGTGACAAACTGGAGCACAGGGTGACTTCATTTGTCCAGCCTGTGAAGCCTGAAACGTGCCCAGCAGCATGGCAGGGGTCAAACACCCCCCAAGAATCAGGACCAAAAGAACCTGGCAGCAAAGCCACCATGGGTGGTGTGGAAGGTGTGCCCGAGCTGGCAGAGCCTGTGCTGCCTGCAGGGGGTCACTCACCATGATGATGTACCAGTCATTGACCACCGTCAGCTCAAACAGTGTCACTGCACAGAAGAGGGAGAAAACACACTCAGGGAATTGTTTTATCCATCCTGACCTGTTTCACAGTGATTTTTAGATAAAGTGTTCGACAGGGAAGACTGTCACTAGACAGCCAAGTTTGAGTAAAGACAGCAAATCCAGAGAGAATGCAGACCCTCCCACTGCAATTCCTTCAGACACAGGGTCAGACCCACAGAACCTGCAGCATGGCTTCATCTCTGTTTCTTAAAGAAACCAGGCCTGACTCCTCACCAGAGAGCATGGAGACCTCTGAAATCTTCTGCTCACACATTATGAAAAATGATGGAGAGCAATCAATACATTCAAATTATTCTTCATCAGAGGGTTTAAAGAGAGGCATCACTGTTGGTTCTTTAGAAGGGCAGTGGAGAATGCCTCCCTTGAACACCTCTGGTCTGGTCACCAGCCAGAACAGATCTGCTGCCTTCCAGCTGGCTCTGAGAGACCTCTGCTCACCCTGCAAAGCAGTCCTGGCACAGCCAGTCAGCTGGAGCTCTCCAGACAGAAAGAGCAGGATACAGAGTGAGGCGCATCAGCAGCACTGCCCTGGGAGAGTCCCAGGCTCACATGAGCATTTCAGAGCCATCCAGCTCTGCAGGAACACAGGATAATCTTTTCTAGGGACAGAAGTGTCCTTACCAAAGCTGTTCAGAATGTTGTCAAAGTTGTTGAGATAGTAATAACCTTCTTCCACAACTGTTTTGTTGCCAACTGTGTGGTTCACCCAGCGGTAGGAATCTGCAACTGTGCTTGTACTGGTTGGAGAAAACAAGACAAAGAATCAGCAGAGACTGGAAAAGCAATGAAAATCTAAAAAGTTATAAATACCAGCCCCTCTAGAATGTGGTAAGAAGAGTAGCAATTTCTACCTCTTGGCCAACATTTGTCTTTTCCTCTGGGAGGAAAAGGAATGCTCTCTCCTTCACAGCTCAGCACAAGCCCAGGGAGCACATGGAGCCTTTCTAATCATTCAGCAAATATTACATCAGAGAAACTGAGAGTTTGAGTTCCTTATACCCTTCAAGCTTGGCATTTCCACGTGGTCTGCCATCATTAAAGGCACAGCACAGCTTAGAATCCAGGACCAGGTGAATTTATGTTGGGTGAATTTGTTGCTGGACAAGCAACTCTGGCATCATAGAAATAGAATGGTTTGGGTAGGAAAGGACCTTAAAGCCCATCCAGTTCCACCCCCTGCCATGGCCAGGGACACCTTCCACCATCCCAGGTTGCTCCAAGCACTGTCCAACGTGGCCTTGGACACTTGCAGGCATGGGGCTGGAGAAATGAAGTAGCTCCTGGATTTCTGCCACGTGTTGCCTTAGCTACAAAACCCCATTTAGCTCCATCCTCTGGCCACTTCTCCACAGGGAAGTGGAGCTGCCAGAGCTCCCTGCTGCTGCCTGAGCACTAAAAGCACTGTTGAGGGGGCTGGATTTGAGGTACTCACTTGCAGCAGTTCGGGTAGACCACGCCAGCGAAGAACTCCATGCCAACAATGGCAAAGCAATAGTAGAAGATCAGCAGGGTTAAACCCAGGCTGGAGGCAGAAACAGAAAGAGTACTGTGTGCTGGAGAGTTGCTAAGGCAGGGAAACACAAAATCCTAGGCTGGTTGCTCTGGGAGGAATTTCCAAGGGATGGGAAGCAGCACTGGAAACGCCAGCCCACCCTCCCTGCTGCTGTGGCTCTGCAGCTCTTGGCCTGCTCTCATTTAGGGAGCCCTTGGACAAGGAGTTTGCCACTCACTGAAGAGAGAAACCAAAGAGCAGCCTGGATTGCCTCCCAGTCTGTCCTTTTCTGTTAAATAAACATCTCTGCACAGCTCCTTTAATAAAGAGCACCACACACTGTTTCTGCCCTCTCCACATCCTTCAGGCAGGGACGGTGCCAAGAGCGGGGCTCTCCAGCCAGCCCAGGCCTCCTGGGAGAGAAGCAGGGCAGCACTCAAGCACCAGGCTCCCTCTGCCCCACCATTCCACAAAAATGCTCTCAGGGGCTCTGCTGAGGACAGGGAACAGCTGGGGCCAAGGGGATTTGTGCCAATGCTCTTCCCACAGGGGCTTTGTCTCTCAGCAAGAGTTGGGATGGGGGAGAAAGACTAAAACAAGCAGGGAATCTTAGTTATCCTCCTACCACCAAAGCAGGAGGATCCCAGGGTGCTGGAGTGCTGCTGTTCCAAGGAATTGGAAGATGCTTAAAAAAAATCAGTAACCATCCACTGAGAGATCAGAGCATAAATCCCTGCAGCATGTTGGACATGTCCCTACCCCGACCCCAAACCTTCACTGCCCTCTCCCTGCCATCACCCCAAGAGCAGGGGTTGGTAGAGCAGAGGCTGGTACCTGGCCATACGAGGGAACAGCTCAAACATCGTGTCCAGGACGTTCCTGTAGCGTTTCTTCAGTTTGAAGAGCCTGAAAGGAGAGGCCAGGGGTTACCCACAGCCTGCAGCTCTCCTGGTGCTGGGGGAAAGAGCTAAAAGGACAATTCCAGCTCTCTCTGCCTTGCAGGTCAATGACAGTGAGGTTTCCTGACTTTCCTGACTTCTTGCTCAAGTGGTCTCTGCTCACCTGCTGTCCCATCTAAGTGTTTGTGACACATTCAATTGTTTAAAGGACTGAAGACCTCAGGGGAAAAAAGGCTGTCTTTTTACATGGCATGATGCATAAACAGCTATTTAAAACTCCTAAAAATTATAAGAACTTACACTAGGCCCATGTACAGGGTCAGGATTCATTTCTGCTTCCCCCGGACACAAGCTTTTCTGTGTTTCCCCCAAGACCCAATAAAAATTGATGGAAGAAAACCACACTGTGCTTTCTAATTTAAAATTTGGCAATCCCATCAGTCTTTACAGAGAAACACAGCTGCCAAACAGGCTTTGGCAGGGGAGGAACAGAGAAAACATTATTTTTTTTTCCCTCTTGAGCATCATGAAGTGTTCTTAAAATCCTCACTGGAGAGCTAAATTACATCAGCTTGTTTTTTTATGAAACATTTCACCTCAAATCTTGTCCCCCTGTGGGTCTGGAGGTGTTTGTGAAGGTGATTGCTCCTCGACATGAGAGGCTTAGTCAGCCCCAGCTCCCTGAAATGCAGAGAGGTCACAGGCCATGGCCTTGCTCAAAGTGTGAGATGCAGTTGGAGCAGGGCAGTACTTCACCCTAGAGAGGAGCATCCTTTGAAAACTGTAATTTCTGGTAATTCAATGGAAATTATTAAACTGGCTCAGACCATCTCATCCTGACAGCAGAGCTTTTCTCTGAACAGCATCAGACAATTTAGAGGAGGTGTGAGAACCCCACGAAGGCAGACACAGGATAATCTGCCCCCAGTAAATCCCTTGATCTCTATTAGAGATCAGCTTAAGCTCCAAAGCACGAGGTTTTCATATCCCATCCCAAGTTTTTGTTATCCTTCCTTTCCATAACTCGGGCTAATCCCATTACCCCACGCAATTCCTGTTTGCCACGGTCACATTCCCACAGAGCAATCCTTGCCCTCTCCTGCTAAGGAGCTCAGTCCCCAGTGGGACTGATGGCAAACAAGGCTGTTTTCTCCCACCTGCTCTCTGGAATCCCCCCTGCCCAGCCTTTCCCAGCTCACCTCAGCAGCTGCAGGGGTCGCAGGACCACGATGAAGTAAAAGGGCTCCATGTTGAATGCCAGTGCCATGAGCCCCAAAAATGCAAACAGGGTGACTGAGAAGTCAAAGCTGGAAAGAAAAATAAAATAAAATAAATCTAAGAGCAATGATTTATCAGCAGTGTTTCATCAGAGAAGAGGGATTGGTGCTGCTCCAGCCTAACGAGATGCACGAGGCCAGGGGCAGAAGAATTATAACAGTTGATGGCCTCCTCTCTGCAGGCTTGGCTCAGGACTTGGTGTTTCCAACCCACAAAGATGAATGTGCACTTACAGATTCCAGCCTGAGGACAGGTACTCCACAGGCCCCAGCCCAGTGGTCTTCAGGAGCAGCTCCACACCATAGACTGCAAAACAAGAGGGGTCAGGAACGAGCAGCAGTCAGGAAAGGCTCATGGGGAGGCTCATTCCCTCCTGGATGTGTGGGGATTTTAAAGGATTTCTGAACAGGGGTTTAACAGACCCCACCCATCCTCCTCATTCTCAGTGAGGTGCCAAAGAGACTTCTCCCTTCCAAATCAACATATTTCCCTGTGTTCATGGAGATTTCTCTCTGAAGTCTGCAAAACAATCCCTGCCAGGCACACCATTGTTCTGCGTGGAGACTCTACACCCATGGTTAAGTTACAACTTCAATTCCCTTCCCAGCTCCTCAGGAAAGGACACAGCTCTGTTGGGAGGCATCAGCTTACTTGTGAGGAAGACTACATAGCTCCATGGGACATTCCTGGAGAAGAAATTCCCTCCTGCAAGACACAAGAACAGCTTTCTCAAGTCCTCCCTTTTTTTCCAATCCCCCAGCACCACAGTTAAGCAACAAGCCGTGTTTCCTACCTTGCAGCATGAAGGTTTCAACAAGAATCCAAATCCCATTCACAGCCACCACAGTGTCTGGAAAAGAAAGGAAAAAACCCATAGCAAAACCACACCTGGATATCCATTTATTAGGCCAACAAAAAGAATACAATACAGGATAAGTGGCAGGGTCATTGGTTCCAAGTCAATGAACAAACTGAACTCATAAATTGTGAGTCTTCCCCCATGTCTTTCTCCAGGCCTTTAACAGATGCAGTGCCTTTATGTTCAAAAATAAACAAAACTAAAAGAAAAAACCAAAAGGCCCAGCCCCCAAATGACTGAGTAGGAATAGATCACTTAGAAGGCAGCAGGTAGCACCAGGAGGAAGCACAGATTCCCTGTCTCAGGCAGCTCAGTTGCCAAGCAATCCCTCCAGCACTGAGGATGCTCACAGCTCCTTGAGAGCAAACAGAATGGCAAGGCACTTCCTTATCCAGCATCCTTCATCTGCAAGATAAACTCCCCAAGGCTGGAAAAGCTGATCACCAACCCAGCTAAACACAACAAATTCCACAGGGCTGTTGTGCAGTGAGCCAGGGAGCCTCTCCAGAACACAGCTGAGAGCCCAGGCTGGTGGTAAAATGAAGCTCTTCCCTCCCTCTCCACTAAAACTCCAAATTTTGTCCATGAACCACAGCTCAGACCACACCAAGTCCTTGGAGGGCTGGCATACCCAGCACACCAGAGCCACCAGATTATTCCTACTCACACATAGTGTACTGGAACACACGGGACTTCACCAGGATGTTGATGCCTGTGTGAAGGAAAGGATGATAAAACAAATGTTTACACCATCCTCCACACCACAGATCCCTCCGTCTTCTCCTTAGAGAAATTTTCCACACCAATCCTCAGCAAAGAAGCTAAACAGATCAGCAGATTATTAACTTTCACTTTTTGGGAACAAGTTTAAATATCCTTTAGAATTTCAGCAGCAATTAAGTCATTATCCTCAGCCCCCAAGATGCCTCTATGTGCTAATTCTGGGGTGGACAGAGGTAAATGCTCTGTGTTTGGAACAAGGAGGGTTGGGAACATCAGCAGAGCTCTGAGGGATCCTGTGGCAGCTGTATTTGGATCAGAGGGTGGCAGCTGTTCCCCAGGAGCACACAACACCTCAGAGGAGCTGCAGGTTCTCAATTCTGAATGGCAACAATCCACTCAGGTAAACGGGGACACAGGAGGTAAATTGGCAAGACATGGTTCTGATGGGGGTTTCAGGCCTCTCTTCCCTTCCCAAACTGCTGTCCTTGACTTGAATGGGACCAGGCAGCCTAACAGCTTTTGTGACAACCCAAATCCCAGTCCACAGTCGCTGCAGGAATATTTACAGCACAGAAATCTTCCCTGGAGACTCCGAATCCCAGCCTCTGGCCTCGGGGGCACTGAACACACAGGGAGCTGGTTAGAAGGCCTTCCCTGAGGTGTTTGCCAGGGTCACAAGAGAAAGTCCCTTCAGAGTTTCCTGTCTTTGTAAAGAATACTCTTCCTGCCATGCCAAGAGTGTGTCACCTTTGAAAATAAGGAAGGCAGTCCGTGGCAGGTCATCAAACCAGTGCTCGCGGCTCCGCTTGGCCTGCAAGCAGAACAGCCACGGTCAGCAGCAGCCAGAGCTACACCCATGCAAAAAAAAGGGCAGGGATGGAAACCCACCCTACCCCACCACCAGCTTCACTTAGATTGCCATTGTTTCTCACCCAGCTCCTCTCCAGCCACTCCTTTTCTCTCCCTCCCACACACGGTTTCCTTCTTCCCCACCCAACAAACTCTTACCTTCCATTTTAAGCCAACAACTTCATAGAAATTGTAAAAATCCTTTAGACTGCAAAACAGAAAGAAACATCTGATCAGAGCCTTGAGGGTGAGCAGATCATTAATTGTCCCTGTCAGACATCACCAGTGGAGAGTCCCTGGAAGTTATTAACTCCTTATCAGAACTGCAGCCACAGCTGACAGGACTCAGCAGTGACCTTCTCCCAGCCTGGCCAAAGGTTCCTGACTGACAATAGCCAGAATCTCCTTTCTGTAATGCTTCAGCCCTTAAGGGAAACTCTGACTCTTCTGAACTCCAGTTTTCCCACTGAGAGGAAGGACCTGAGGCTTAGATGCCAACTCCAAGGGATGGAGATTGCACTGCTCTTCATGAAGAAGTCTTGGACTGCCTTAATTACTTGTACAGTCCTTTCCTAACATCTGTTCACATTTTCTTTTCAGGGTAAAAATGAAGTTTGAAAAAGGACATGAAAGCAAAGAAACTCATAGAACATGAGTGCCTGTCTAGGTGCCCAGGGTCAGGCTTGTAACAGCTTTTATGTGTCTGGAAGTGAGGATGCTGAACTTCTCAGACTCTTACTGGTGACATTGATGCCTAAATTTCACAACTCAGTCTTTCTCCCTGTGCCATTTTCAATACTTCTCTGCAGCACTTGACTTCAAGGAGAAGTATCAGCACCAGTTTCATAGGAGAGTCACTTGGAACCTGTCTGTGGCCAGAACAAAGGAAAAGGAAGAGAAGGTCTCCTGCTCTAATTCCCCCTACTCCCTTGCTGGCTGGAGTTAGCTGCACCCAACCCCCCACCAGAATGGCAATTCTCTGCCTCATAACACAGAGGATGGCCTCCCTGAAAGCACCAGCAGAACCAAATTTTAATTAACAAAACCCTGGGGGGGACAGCCAGCTGCTGGAAAAAAAGCAAAAACTTGTTAAGCTGCGAGGCTGCGCTGTGTGAGGAAATGCTCCTGGCAGGCTCCAGCGCTGCTCCCCAGCTCCTGCCTCTGCTCTGCCAGGGGAGAGGGAAGCAGCTCCTGCCTGTGAGTGCCAGCACAGCCCTGTATCCACAAGAGGGCACGCAGGAACTCCAGCACCTCAGCTCTCAGGGTACCCACCCCTCCCAGCTCCCTGCTTCCCAGAAAAACCCTTCCCCAGCGCCCATTCCATAGACCCAGCCATCCTCTGCAAAGAACAGCAACCTCCCTGCTCTGGCTGCAGCAGCAGGAGCACCCTACCTGACTAAAGGGGTATTGCTCTGATTCAGTGCTTTGAAGGTGAGATATCTCTCCCTGGCACACATCCGAGGCTTGTAGAACCGCAGCAGTCCTTCGAAGTGCTTGAAGGAAATTCCAGACGGCCTCTGGCAACAAAGGGACGCTGTCAGAAACAGCAGCAGCAGGCAGGAATGCACAGAGGCTTTTCATTCTCACCCTGGATTTGTTTTAAGCAGGATTTCATACACTATAACTGAGCCCCCTAAGTACCCTGAGCTATTACTTTCACACACCAAGCTCTTCCCAGGGCACAGAGATCAGAAAGCTTTGCTGGCAATGGGTCCCTCCAGCAAATGCAGAACTGCTCCCTGCTGCCCCATCACCTGAAAATTGTCCAACCAGACACCTCAAGCAGAGTTCAACCCCTCTTCTTGGGAAATTAGCAGGCAGCCTAACAGATCCCATCATGGCACATTTTTAAGACCATCAACTATGTGCACTAAACATGAACTAATCTACTAGAAGTGGGTTAGTTATTTTTGGGTCTTATTTCTCTTGCTGCTTCAACAAGTTAAGCAAGAAATCAACCTTCTCCCCTCAGTGTTTGTCCCTGTAAAAAGCTGTTTGTAGGTGAAGTCCTTCTGTTTCTGCACTGCTCACTTCTGCAGGATCTAGAAAATGGATTATATTTTCAATTGCATACCCATCCCTCCTCTCAGCAGTGATTGTTGGTAAGCCAAATGAGTCCTCAATTGACCCAGACTGATGCAGAGAGAAATCAATGATCACATGCACTCCAGAACAAACCTCCCTCATTTTACCAAGCCATAACCTCACACAGGGCCGAAATTCAGAGCACACAAATAGAGGTGAACAAGAATAAAGCCCCACCAGCCCGTGGTGAGCCTGATCACAACCAGCAGAGCTAAGAGCCCTTTTTTTGGAGGTGCTGTCCCAGCAGGCAGCCCAGGGTGCTGCTGGCACAGCTGTACCTGCTTGGTGACCAGCAGCCGGTACGCGTGCTGGATGGCCGTGCGCTTGTGCAGCAGCAGGGACTTGAACTTCCTCTTCTCAATGTCATTGAAAGTGTCAAACACAACAGCCAGGAGCTGGGAAGACAAGGGGAAAAAAAGTGCTGCTTTGACCCTTGTACTCTGCAGGGTTTCAGGGAAGCAAGGAGAGGCACTGCCTGCAGCAGGAATGCTGATGGAGGCGGTGAGGTCCCGCAAAGGGATCCCCACGCTCACGGCTCTGATCCCCTTTTTGGAGGAGGTCCAGATGTTTCTGGCCTCTCACCACTTGCTAGTGGGTTTTAAGAGCTACACAAATGCCAGCAGAAAACCATATGAAAGGATTAATTAAAAGGCCCTGATCTGTTCCTGGAAAGCAGAGTTTGAGGGCTGCTCTCTGGATTCACCCTTCCTGGGAGCTTTGGCTAACCCATAGCAAAGCTAACCCTCCATCTGGGAAGGCAGTGAAATCCAACCACAAGCATCAAATCCCTCACCTTGGGCTGCAGAATTCCTCAGCTCCTTTGGCAAGTCCTTTTCCAGCACTCACATCCTCCCCTGGGCAGCCATGCAGTGATCAGCACTGCAGTCCTGCCATCCTGAGTAATTCCATCCCCTTCAAACTGATTTACAAAGTATTTCGGGCAAGTCCAGATAATAAAATGCCATTTTATGATAAATAATTAAGACAGAGAAGGATAATAAATTCCATGCAACCGAGTATGTCACTCCAAGCACAGTATTAATGGGAGAGTAGTTGAAAGATGCTCCTATAATTTGGTTTTCTGTGATTTAGTTCAATTCCTCATGGTTAGACATTAAAAGAGTTCTATCTGTAGCCAAGCTGCCATTTCTAGCAGTGTTCTGCCACAGGGTCTGAGATGATTGCAGAGCAGTTCTGGGAATGGGGAAGGCTCTGCTGAGCAATGAGCTCCAGAGCAGGCAGAGGGGAGGGAAGTGCCCCGCTGGGGACTCACCAAGTTCATGATGAAGTAGAGCTCAATGGAGAGGTACACGATGAAGAAGACACAGGACCAGGGGTTGCGGGCGTAGGACGGCATCATCACATCAGGGAAACTGCACCCCAAAGGACACAAGGCTGAGCACCAAAACACCCGTGGTACACAGCCCACTGCACAGGCAGCAGGCACAGCGAGGGGGGTGTGAATAAACTCACATCTAAAGATCTGCACATTTGTACAAAACTCGTGGAGTAAAAATAAATGTGGCAAGCACATTCCTCACACATCCCAAACACCAAATGGGATTTGTGGTGTGGTTAAGGGCTGTGCTTTGATACTTAACAACAGCAGCACAGCCTCGGTGCAGGTGTTACAACCTCAGATTTCTTCCATCCTTTGCTAATTTCCTAATCCTCAGGGCTCTCCCTGACAGCAGATCAATATTTACTCACTGCTGCTATCCCAATTTCCCAGCAGACAGGTGAACTGCAGCACAGAAATAGGAAGTTACTTTTCACCTGTGAGCTGTTGGCCGACAAAGGAGCACAAACACATATTTTCCCTTCTTGGACCAAGGCCTAACAAAGCTGGTTTTCCCCCTTATTGCCCTCACAGTGATGAAAACATCTGAGTCCTTAGAGATAACTCTGCAGAACTGAGGTCACAGTGTCCTAAAGTAAAATGAAATACCAGCTCTTCCCATGCATGCTGACTCTGGACATCTCTCTCTCTCTCTCAGGCAGAGGAAAGGGGTCACACATTTGGAGAACAGAGCATTTCTGCAGATAAACTCTTGGCTCTGCCAGACTCCTTTGGAATAAAGGGAAAGACTGAGATAGAAGAGCATGAACTTACTTTGAAGTGGTCAAAAGCACAAAAAGATTCACCAGGCTGTTCTCTAAGGTATTGAAGTACTGCAAGAAAAAATTCCCATGACAAAATGCAAGCAGGAACTCATAGGGACATTTTGTTCAAAGAAACAACCAGTCCCCCCACCCCTTTGGACACAGGCACTCCCATAGTTCCCTGATGCCTTCCCTAGGGAAAAGCACTTCAGCACTTTTTAAAGCTCCCTGAGAAATGGTGTGTGAAGGGTTAAACCAAAAGCACATTTTTGTTAGGACTTTCTCACAGGCAGCCACAGCCTGGGCAGCAGCAGGAACCAGTGGCAGCTGGACTCTGACCACAGCAGTGGAAGTGGCTGAGCTTTGCCCCAGACACCTCCTCCCCTGGGCACAGTGGCAGGTGGCTCTTTTGGCTGAATGAAGGCATCAAGGATAAGGAACAACTCGGACAATGTTCCCTTTGGGACATCCTGGAGGAACTTTGGAGGAAGTTCCTTCCACAGTCTTCCTCCCCAGCAGAGGGTAAAGCAGGGTGATACCGCCAGGAGCAGCCAGAGTTTGGTATCTCATGGAATAAACTATGGCTGCACTGTAAGGTTGAATTCTTAATGAAAGAATCAAGATACTCACTGGATCCGAGTGGTTAGGAGAAAACAAGTAAAAACCTAAAGAGGCAGCAGGGAAAACAGAGGGGGAGAGAAAGGACAAAAATAAAGTCAGTTCCATGTCGAGCAGTTCCCAAAGGGAAGGTCCCACTAAAAGCAAATCCTCTCTGACACCCTGAGGATGGGAGCATCTGGAAGACTTTCTCCACAGAGATCTGCCAATAGATGTCATTGGCATTTCACTGCTCTTTTTGGAAAATAAACTTTCTGGGGATGGTCTGGGCTGTAGCAGGTACACTCCAGACACGTGCATTTGTGGGGATGCAGATTCAAGTGTCAGCATTGAGCAAGAGCTGGTGGAAGCAGAGCTTGAAAACACACACCACTGACTGTGCTCTGTCCCAGAATTAAATACCCAGCTTTCAGATTTTTTTGGATGTTTTAACTCTGCCTTCCAGATGACTGCAGATGAAGTGGGGTAAGTGGAAGATCCTGGCAATTCTCTGGATCTGATCAGCTTTATATTCATCCAGGCTGTTCATGTTGCTTTTGGACAATCACTGGTTAAGAGCATCACTTCTCCACCCAGACATACAACTCACCCAGAATAGCAAAAATCACCATGAAGAAAAGCAGGAGGAGAAGGATGTCAATAAATGGTGGGAGGGACTGGAAGATCTGTCGCAGATTTCTGAAAAATAAGAGAAAACATTAATAAATTTAAATTTGCACATTTACTCCTCCAGGTTGTCAGGGGAAAGAAAAAAAACCCACCACTACCACCCCACACTTGAGGGCTTTTTTCCCACTCCCTCCAAGGATTAAAAGTAGAAAGCTTGCTAAATTAGGATCATTTCCAAGCTACCCATCTGTCCTTTGCAGTCAGCTCTCAGGTACTGCAAACAACACTAATGTCTTGCTGTCAACTCTCCTTCTGCAGACTAAAGAGCAGCTCTGATTCACTGTGAGCTTCCAGGCAAGGCCAGGAGCAGAGCCAGGGCAGCCACACCCTGTGCTGCTCTCTCTGAGGTGGTTCACACACCCAAGCCCTGTGCTCCATCAGCACATCCACGCTTAGCTCACAGTGGAACCATCTCCAACACAAATGCCAGAGAAAGACACTGACTTTCCTGGGATGCTTGCAGGATTTTGTTGGAATGCATGAAATACAAGCCACTCTGAGTCCCTCAGAGAGAGAAAGGAATGCAGGGATTAAATTGGAACCTTTAGAGAAAATGAAATATATTAAGTCACACAGATGTGAAGTAAAAGTTTTAGTTTTAAGTAAGTAGAAATATATCTTAAGTGCCTTAAGAGACTGTGTTAGCTAGTAAAAAGTTCTAAAGCCTAGTTTAAAGTTCAGTGGTGTCACCTTTCACAAAATAAACTTAGCTCCAGACATAATGAAAACATAGCAGAACACTGCTTGCATTTCTAGATAGAACACACAGAACTATTTGCATGAACAGATAGAACTACATATGTAGATTTAGGGTAAGAACTGACACTACTTTCACACGTTAGAGTCAAGCTCAGACTGGTGAAGGAAGAATATTTTAGAATTGTGTTTTTAGCTGACTGGATGCTTTATTAATAAATCCCCCAGTACTGGGGTGCAAAAGGGAAGAAGACAAAAAGGGATAGTAGCTGCTAGAACAGCAGCACTCTGTGCCAGGGAGCTTTTAGCACGGACTTCACTACTCTGAACTCTTTGAGACTGATGTGTTCCTGCAATAACCAACTTTACAACCACCAACAACAGCTCCTGTCTCTTTGAAAAACCAAGAGCCAGGCCCAACTGGACAGGATGTGAGTGCTTTCCCTCCAGCCCAGCCCAGCAGTGAGGGCAGAAGCCCCAGGCAGCCCAGCCTCACCTCCTGACAGCCCCACAGTAGCGGCAGTCCACCAGGAAGATGCAGCGCAGGGCGCGGGTGATGCGCACGTGCGAGGTCTGGCGCACCAGCACCACGATGGCCTCGATGAACTGCACCAACAGCACACACGTCTGCAAGAAAGGGGGGATCAGAGGCAAAGCTCTGCCTGACCACCTGCTCGTCTGCACATCTGAAGGGTGGGAGGTGTCCCTGAGAGTTGAGGGATCTCGCATGAATCATCTGGCGGCTGGGACACAGCGGCTACGTCACCCTGCCGCGGTGCAGGGCGATATTTCATCTGGCTCTTTGGTTCTTGGAGGTGCTAAAGGAGAAGCACTGACAATCAAGCAGATAACTCACCTTGACCATAGTCCTTTTGTGCCTGATAAAGGTTTGGAAGCCCAGCCACCTCATCTTCATGGAGAGCTCAAAGACGACCACGATTAACGCAAACAGCTCCAGGGTTGCGTGGACCTGCCGCAGCACAGGTGTGGTGAGAACAGCAGCACAGCAGAGGCCACACTCCTGCCCTTCCTTTTCCAAGGAGCAGCTGGGTTTGACAGCAGTCTGAGCATTGCCTTGTGGCATGCAGGAAAACCCCAAGCCACTCTTTTACAGCTAACATAGCAGTGTTTTTCAAAATTTCTCTATCTACTGCTTGGTGCTTTTATTAAAGCCTGTGCAATTTTCCTCTAAGCAGCACCAGGGCAGAAATTCCTGAAATCCATGTCCCTTCTGGGCTTGAGCAACACAGTAAAAAACTTATTGATACATTTGAAACAAAAGGCCAAGACATCAACAAGTTGAGCAGAAACACTTCGAAAAAAAGATGGATACTGTAATTTTTTTAGTGGAACACAGGAAGGAGAGCTTCTGGGCAGAGAGAGTTTATCCAGAGAAGGGTTTTCACTTGAATTAGACATTCTGGACAATCACGGGGAAGATCCTGAGCTGTATTCTAGGAACCAGTGGTGGTGCTGGGGTAATGGCACCAGCCCTGACAACAACTTTGAAACCACCCCATCAAAGCTCACAGACTGCTGACTTATCTCACACAAATGGAAAAAACCACCTATTTCTGTTACTAAATGAAGAACTGCACAAATTGATAACACGAAACGAGTATCGCTTTCATTGCGGTCTGCCTAGATCAGATGGAAAAAGGAAGTTTTGCTGTCCGGCTTATCTGCTGTCAACCATTTACAGAACAAGCCAGGGGGATTTTTTTTCCTCTCGCTGCCTCCTCTTCCTCTCTGTTTGGCCATCATTTTCCTCTTGCCCACGCTGCAGAGCAAGCAGGCTTTGTCACTTAGGCCCAGGTACTCACGAAGATGCCCAGGCGGAGCATGGGGACCGCTGGAGCCTCGCAGAGGGACAGCAGCAGCAGCAGCAGGGCCGTGCTCAGCTCCATCAGGTAGAAAAGGTGGTTGTGTGCAAAGAGGTAGGCAGCGAGTGCTTTGGCATTTTTGGGGTGAGTGAAGAACTTGTCATTATTTTCTCCTTCCTAGGGCAGCAGGAATAAAGAAGGGAACAGCATTAGTGACTCCTGGTACTATAAAAGTGAAGAATGCAGATTTTTTTTTGGGATTAGATACAATTCCCAACAGGCTACTCCCATTTACAGGCTGTTGTTGATGTGTTTATTGAGGAATGCACTCCCCACACATGGGACATCCTCTTCTGCTCATAACCACATTTCAGTAATGAAACTCTTTAATACCCACTAACTCCTGCTTCATAAACCCCTGAGCCTTTTCATAATGAGGCAGAGAGCTGGGAGAGTTTACAAAGGCAGGCAAAGAAACTTCAGCCAACATCCCAACATAAACACAGCACTTCATTTACTTGCAACTACTTCCACATTTTTACAGACTTATTTGATTAAACTTCTCCAGGACAGAACATGAAAACACCCAGATAAGCTCCAGGGCACCTGGCTGACAGTTGTTCCTCCTTATCTTGGCCTTGCAAAATGTCTGTGAGAAAACATTGAAGCACACACAGTGTTTTCTGCTTCAGGAATGTAAGACAGACTCCATGAAAAATTAACAAGTCTCTATGCTGATTTGTCATTCCCTCTTAACTAGAAAGCTTAATTAACATTAAAAGGTCAGATACTCCATCTTAACACTTTGCCTACAACTGATTTTCAAACAGCTACATCGTGACTATTTTTACCCCTAGGATGAAACTTAGTTTGGGGAGATTTTAGAGGGTTTTCATCAGAACCACCCAACAGCTTCTTCTCTTTCTTGAGTCAACAGTTTTGGCAAGGGAGCTTTTGTCACTCACAGGAAATTTGCTGCCTCTTGGGAACTGTCAAAAGAGATCACTTTTCCCCAGCAGGGCCACACAGATGCACAAGAAGTGGTGAGGTTTTATTTAAATTAACATCTTCCCAGGCAGGCAATTACTGCAAGGACAGTCAAGCTATTACTATCAAAGCAGAATAGCTGTGATTGCAAATGGATAACGAGGTCAGGGAACTCTCCTTTAGGGAGTGAAGCGTTCTCCAGACTCGCTCAGGAGAGGGCTCCCAGTGTTTCCCAGTTACTCCAGCTCACACTGGGTTTCAGAACAAACACTGCTGGGTCAGAGAGCCAGGCTGGAGCAGGACAGAGCCAGCCCTGCAAAGAGCCCAGGCTGAGAGCAGCAGAGTTGTTCCCATCCACGCCTGGCAGGACACACTTGTGGAATGACAAACAGCCTAAATCCTGCCTCTTGGGAGCCAAGCAATTCCAAACGTGCCTGGACAGCAAAGCCCTCTTATCCAGCCCCAGCACTTGCCTGCAGCCACTGCTCACAAAACTCTCCTTAAGTGATTCTGCCTCATTTCAAGGACAGTGTCATTGTGGCCATTGGTCAAGGCAGCAGCAGCAATCATCCCCATCCAAAGGGCCAGGCCTGCTGTGCCCATTACCATCAGAGCTGCAGCAGCTCAATGACCCTTTGCAGAGCTGCTCCAATAATCAGGAGTTTAAACAAAAGCCTGGGATGGAGGCTGGAGTCACCCTGTGTTGTCAGGGCTGCTCCATCACACCACGGAGCTCAAGGGTTGCCAAGGTCCAACCTACACTGTTTTAAAATATCTGAGAAGTGAGATTTCTCAGTCCTGTGTGGTCACAGCATGCAGGAAAAAAATGGTTTCTGTCACCTTGCAGTGGCTTAAACAAAAAAACCCCAACTGGGTCCAAAGCACCTCAGAGCTTTGAAAGGGAACGAAGGATGGAGAGTAATGGAACCAGCAACCATTTCAGACTGGACAGCTCTGGGAGAAGAACAGTTTTGGTGGCTAATTCCTCACACCAGATGTACAGCAACCTTAAAAAAGCAAAACCTTTGTTGCAGTAAGGATGCTGTTTCTGGTAACTGAAGCACAGGTGGTATCTGATTCTTCATTGTTTTAAACATTATCAATTTCACTCCTGGGCTGATCCGAATCCCAGCATCCTTTAACCCTGTAGAAATCAAGCCCTCTGCTTTCTGTCGTGCCTCACATGACCTGCAGGACTTGACTGACACTAACTGGGCCACCCCATGGGCTGGGCAGGATTGGGACCTGCACTTCCAGAAGCGGAGAGCACTGACCATTCCCCCAGGAGCCACTGCAGGGATGAAATGACAATCTGTGACCAGCTACAAAAACCTCTGTGCCGAACTGTGCATGTGCTGAACCCCCCAACAGCACAGTCCTTGGGAGAAGGTGGGGATATTTTGTTGTTCAGTTGCCCCAGATGACTTCCAAAGCCTATCCAGAGGTGCTTCCAACACCGCCCCACTCCCGAAGCAGAATGCCCAGCAAAGCACCCGATTTTCAGCCTCAGGACAGAAACTGTCCGTGTCCCATGGCCAAGAAGCATGGTAGCTCCTGCAGCCCATTCTCCCCCCAGCCAGCAGGGCTCACCTGGAGGTAGATGGCTGCCTCTTGGTAGTTCATCTCCCAGTGGTGGCGGGCAGAGCTCTGCTGGGCGCAGCACTCCCTGGCCGCGGGGCTGGAGGCATCGCTGACAACGTCATAGCTGCCTCCATCTGCAGCAGAGAAAAGGGATCACCATCAGGGCAGCTGGGCTGCAGCAGCAGGCTCTGGGATCACACACAGCCAGGGCAGCTGGGAAAGTGGCAGCTGCACGGTGACAAATTGACTCTTGGCAGGTAGGAGCTTTAAAGAGACGCTCAAAGGCAGCACTTGCACATGGGAATGCTCCCGGAGGATGATCAGAAGAGACAGCTTCCTACTCAGTGCAGCAAGCAGCTCTGCTGGCTCACAGGGTGTGCTGTCAGGCCTGAAGATTGCCATCAGCATCAGAAGCTGCAAGCAGGCAGGTAAGAGCCACCAGCCTCCCAGGATGGGCAGCCCAGGGAAGAGAAGAGCGTTTGCTGAAGGAGCAGGAAGGTTTTGCACATTGTGCTTGGAGCAGAGGCCACGGAAGGACAGACACAGCACTGCCCCTGCCACAGGACACCAGTGAGAGGAGAGAAGCTGTCAGTACTTTGAGTAGAAAGGCCCATTTCTCCCAGCACTTCAAAGCCACTAAATAACACATCAACACTCTGAGGTGCTGAGAAGTACCGACACCCCTCTGATGCAAACAAACCACAAGATGAATTTTCTGTTCACACTCCACACATTCATTCTGAAATTTCCTAGCGCCTGTCCTCACCAGCAAAGAACTATAGAACAATGCCATACTGAACGTGTGAAGTAGATTTTGTAAATAAAGATTTTGTTTTAAAAACCCCAAAACAATTCAGTTGCAAAAAAGCAACTCCCAAGCAGAGCTACACATACACAGTGCCCTTCCCACAGGCACTGGGATGTATGCAAACTCCAAAATAATTGCTATTTTTGCATTCTGGAGCCTTGGTGCTATTAAGATGGATGAAAACTATGCAAGGAAACAATTACTGTACAAAAAGGGAATGTCACTTGGTTTCTTCTTCTGGGACTGGGAGTTTTATTTCACCTTTGACAAAGAATGCCGAGCAGAGAACCCCCAGCAGTGAGACCTGCTTAGGGCCTGTGGTGGAGCTAGTTCACACTCTCAGTTCTCTAGAGTTTCAAACATTTCCCACATCACATGGTTGTTCCTGCTCTCAGAAGAGACTTCCCTCCTCCAGTGCCTCATGTTCCTGAAGTGGGTACATGTAAAATTGAGCTTGCCAGCACAGCAGTGCTGATTTCCCCCTTTTTTTGTGAGCACAGGAGCTGTGGTGTGGCAGCTCGTTCTCTCTGTGTTCAAAGTTGTTATCTGAGAGTGGGCAAAAAGCACCACGAGGTTCTCTTCCCCTCTCATGACAGCCTGCTGAAGATTTGCTGTGACAAAATAATCCTGGATGAATTACTGATTCAGTCTCTCCAGAACACCCTCTGGAGTGGAGAGGGAGCCCATGCCAAAAACTCTGCACCCGCCAAGAGAAATGGCACCATGTGCTCCTGGCAGAGGCAGGGAGTGGGAAGAAATCAGAACCCCTTCACCAGTGCACAGCCACAGCTGCCTCTTCCACCCCCAAATCAAATTAAGATAACATTTCTCTGGGGTTTGTGAAGACCTTCCAGATTGCACACTCAGGTTGCTGAGCATTCTGCAGCACGAAGCCTGTTTCTCTTCCTTGCTTCCCCCACACCCTTAAAATACCACTCAAAATCTGGACAAATGTTTGAATGAGGCCGGTTCCTCCCCCACACCCCTTGATTTAGCACAGCTCTTGGAAAAAAAAAAAAACCTGAATGATGGAGTTTTTATTTATCCACGGAGCTGGAATGGCAGCCTTCTGGTTTGTCTGCTTTTTAGCTAAGAGATGACAGCCATATGCAAAAATCAGAAGCGTTATATTGCAAGCTCTAAAAAGTTCTTAAATGTTATTATTTACAAAGCTTTTGCTGGGGGACGTATCTCAAAAAGACAGACACCCTCAAACTGCAGCCTGAGAGCAAAACCTTTTCACATTTGATGCTTAACAGTTACAGAAGGAGCATATCTTCATCAGAACCTGGATTTTACATTACAGAATATACCAAATTTATGAGGATCAAAACACAGTGTGGCCAAAGCAGCAAAGGTTTGTAGCATTAACCTAAACACCAACACACTGGACCCTGCCAAAAGATGCCCAAATCACCTTTAACCCTGAAGCAGCTCTTTTGCAAAAACCAACCTCTCTGGAAAGGCTAGACCCTAGGAAAAGACACACTCCTGCAAAACCCAGGACAGGACCCTGCTCTGTGCTTCTCACAGAAAAGCTGTCCCAGCTCTGAGACCAAGGATGCAAATACAAAACAGCGCTCAGAGATGCAAATCAGAACCGAAAAACAGCTCTAGAAATCAAGATGCTTTCCTGCTGTCTAAACCAGGCACAGACAACAGAAAATGCACTCAAGTGTTCCGGTGGGGAGCTGCGTTTCGTGGATCAGCTCCTTCCCCATCAGGTACCAGAAGGTTGATCTAGCATCCCTGAGGCAACAGCATCATCTGGGTCATAAATAATAATAAAAATAATAATAAATTTGAAGAGCAGCCCTCTGACTGTGTGCTTGGCAGCCCTCCAGCGAGCTAATTTCCTCAGCTGCTCCCATGATAACAATGACACAGACTAATGCAAGCTCGGCTCCGCTCGTGCTGCACAACATCCCCGACGGCGTTTACCATCAGTATGGAGCTCAATGAGATAGGAGGACCTCTCCACGGGGCTCCCGGGATCCTCGAAGTAGATGGCAGGCAGCTCTCTCCACTGCATGGCAGCCCGAAGTTCCTCCCTCCCTTCCCAAAGCTGCTCCTCGGTTTCGCCGCTTCCTCAGGGGAAAGCTCGGCACAGGAGATTCTGCTCTGCTGCCTGCAGAGCTGAGCGCTTCTCCCCTCCCCTCTGAGGAAGGTGGCTCAGAGCTCAGTGAGATCCCTTCCCTGGCTCTTTCCGAGGGTGAGATTTTGGGAGGTTCGGCTGCAGGACGAGGAGCTGCCAGGCACAAGCGTGCTGGCGAAGCGGGGATTCGTGTGCTGCGCGCTCGTGTTTTGGCATTTAGCACGGCTTGCTCACGATGAGCTAACGGGAGAGGAGTCGAAGTGCTGAGCAGGCACTGCGAGGGATCTCCAGCACCAAAAAAGAAAACAGATATTTTGTGAAGTTCGCGGCGCAAGGGGCGCGCCAAAAGAAGAGAAATGAGCGGGTCACAGATGGCAAAGCTTCCTTCCTTACACTTGTGTAACTTAGCCCAGTCGGTCCCTGAAAAGAGAGAGAGGCAGGGAGGGAGGGGAAAAAAAAGAAAAGAGGGGGGAAAGAAAAAAAAAATAAAAATAAAAGGAAAAGCAAAACCAGCTGGCTGCTTACACAAGGCATCCAGAACGAGACTGCCGGGACTCCGGCATTTCCATTCAGTGCAGCCGAGCATGCTCCTGTGTAAATAGTTTCCATATGTCATCATTACAATAAAAAACAAGAAAAAACAAGGAAGAAAGAGAAGGAGCATAAACTTTTCAGAGCCCAAACCTCTCCCTCTGCAAAACAAATTCCCTGCTTAGGGGAAGGAAAAACTCTCCATGGGCCGAGAGCAAACAAACTCCTCTCATTCGGAGGAGCTCATGAAGCCATGGGGGATCTCCAGGGCAGAGCTGAGAGGAGAATAAGGGACAGAAAACATCCTCAGGAGGCTGGGATAAATCACCCTTCCCAGCCAGCTATTGTAATCAAACTGAAGTCACTCTGGAATTCCATGGGTTTTGGTGTCTGCACTCCTTTAAATATATAGTAATTTTTTCAAAATTCCAACAAACTAGTAGCCTCCTACAAATTCAAAGAGTTACAAACCAACCCTACAGGGCAGCTCTTCCATTTGCCTTGGAGCTGCCCCAGCCTGGCTCTCACTAGCCAGTTTGGCAGATGTTCTGCCTGCCAGAACAGCACACACTTTTTTGTGCCCTTGCACTGAAACAGACTGAGATTCCCTAACTGGCTCCAAAGCCTTTACTGGACTTACCAGGGCTTTTTTCTAAATGGCTGAGGATGGTTTGGATGTTAAGTTTCCATCCTGCCCAGATATTGTTATTTTAGCAAGTACACCCGTGATGACAGAACACTGCAGAACATGTGAAGGCAGAAGTGACTTAAATCAGCAAAAAATATCCTTATTCTGTCATTCATGCTGTTCATGTATCACGTGTGGAGTCAATGTAAGATGCAATATGCAAGTTGCTCCAGTCAGTTCCATGTGTGAGTAATGTTTTTCTTGACAGGCAAAAAAAGAAATGCCAAGGACACACAGCTTGGGAGACAGGACACATCTTCATTCTTGTGGCCTTGCAAGGTCCCTGATTCACCAAAAGAGGGAAGAGGAAGGAAGGCATCACCTCCTGCATGGGGGAAAGGTCAAACTCTCCAGGGCACATGTTCTGGGCAGCTCCAGTCACCAGTGTGTTCAAGGCTGGATGGGGCTTGGAGCAACCTAATGGAATGTGTCTGCTCCTTCCAATCCAAAGCATTCCATGATTTTATCATTCTGCCATTCAGTTGGAGTCTTTTTTTTTCAGGCTTTGCATTCCTCATTACTATAACTCCCTCTATTTCTCACACCCTTCATCTTCACTGCATCTGTAATTCCCAAACTCAGTCACAGAGCCCAAGATTTTGGTTTAATACAAAGATAATCAGGTATCCCCCAGCACCAAACACGAGTCCGTGGGAGAAGGCAGATCCCAGCAGGATCAAAGGTTCTCTTGGTGTTCCTGGATCTCCTGAGCTCACACCCAAGACCTGTCCCAGTGCAGGAGCCCTGTGCTGGCTGAGGTTTTTGGCTCTCTCAGCCACATTGCTCCCTGAGGCTGTGGTGAGGGTGGACAAGGAGAAGGACAGCACTCCAGAGGCACTCCACTCTCCTGGAAAGATCTCATCAGCTGAACCACAGAGAACACTCACTACAGAAGGTGCAAATCCATAAAAAAAAACATGGAAACAAGGTAGATGCCTACCCTTCCCCAACACAATCTGCATCTTCAGTCCCAAAGCCAAGATTTTAGTCAAGTATTGGAGCTGTCCCAGCACCAAGGATGGCATTTTCCCTCTCAAGGCCTCACAGGCCCCGTAGCTTCACCTGCAGAGGATTAATGTTCCCTCCCTCCTCCAAGGAGGATGATGAGAAACTGCTCCTTGCAAGCACTGAGGCACAAACACTCATGTGCTGGTGTTGTTGAGGCAGGATGGGAATGAGAAGACTCTGATTAGAAGACTGTTGAGAGTAAAACTTTGGTTTATTTAAAATACACTGCTCTTTTATACAGAGCTTAGTGAGGACCAACTCTATTGGTCCTGAAGTGAAAACAACCCACACCATTGGTGCATTGATGCACAGTGATAGAACTTAACTACAAACAATGTGAAAAACAAGAGAGATAAAGAATTATTTACATTCTTCTCCAGCTCTTTCCCAGGCTTCTGCCTGGCTAGAAACTCTCAGTTTCTCTCTTTGACTGAATCTGAGACCCACATGCTGGTCTCTTCAAGGCCAGGCTCACCTACCCCGGAGAAAAAAAAGCTGGGAGCTGCCTGGAAAGCACAGCTGGTCTGGCACTTGGCCACACACCTCAGAGGTGAGCCAGCCAGCCAGGGAAATCACTGCCTCTGCTGCCTGGCTGCCAGCTCAGCGCCGTGCCAGCGGGAGCATCGCAGGACTGCTCCTTGCAGCCCAAAAATCCCAGCGCCTGGCCTGCTTCAGGGGACGTGGTGGGAAGGAAGAGAACAGCCATGGGGAAGTCGAAACAATTTGCTGTCAGTTTGTTGCCTAGGAAAAAAGGGCATCTCCAACAGAGAGCAGTGCCAAGCCCTTCTGCTAGAGGAGGAATAATCTACTTCGGAATATTTCGAGCCAGTGTAACTGAGTCATGCTCTTCCTTGGAGACAACAGCACAGCAGAAACATATGCAAAGGCCTCGGGGCTCTTTGTCTTACTGTATTCTCACAGCACTCACTTGCTGTGAAGCTCAACAAATAAAGTCACTTCAGCTTTTTCCTATTTAACACAGGAAAGTTTTTTAACAAACCACGGACGTTGCCACTTCCTGTGAGCGGTAAAAGGCGACTGGAGCCGACCGTTCCTCGCCTTGACTGGAGGATGCAGCAACACGAGCTCACATCCTGCCTCCATCACCACAGGGAGCTGAATCCTCGTGAAGGAGGAGCAGATGTCCCCCAGCATGGTAAGTCACATTTTCTATACCATTGCCTCTCGTCGGCGGTGCTGCCGAGCTCCTTGCACAGCTTCTGGCCAGCGCCGCTTCATCGGGGAGCGCTGCGCCCTCGCCAGCAGCTGCCCTGCACACATGGAAACCCCCCTGCACAAAGGAGCACAGAAGGGCTAAAGCATGCTAGGAAATGGTTCAGCCCCAGCAGAAAGCCTGGCTCCATCCAGGGAGCTCTGAGTGAGGCAGAGCCAGTTAACCCTTCGCTCGGCAGCTCGGGAGGGGATGATTCACTTGGATGTTCACTTCCTGCACCACCCTCCTGGGGACAGACATTTGTAAGAAAGAATTAAAAAAAAAAAATTAAGGACTTCCAGGAAAAGAAGGATGAGGATAATTTTCCCCATCTACAGTAGCCAAGCTGTGTTGGTTGGAGATCCTCATCTGTGCAGTTCACTGCCTCGTCTCCCCAGGACACCTGCTCTCCTCTGATCTCATCCCTGAGTCACTCCAGCTTTTTTTCCCTCTTGAAATATTATGTGGGACGTTTTGGCCAGGAACTGTTTGATCCTGGGACAACTTTCACTCCTGGAAACACAGCAGCAAGAGGCAGAGGGGCAGATCCCTCTTTTTTGGGATGTTTGGAATCCATAATTAGGTTAGCAAGACTTCGGCAGCTGAAGATGAACTGACAGATGCAAACCATTCCCTGTCTAAGCCCTGTTCCACAAAGCTGCCTCCTGACAGATGTGGGATTAAATCCTCCTGCATCTGAGAGTCCATGAAATATCACAAGGAGAGCTGGAACCAGGCACTCCTTCAAAATAAAACTGTGGAACACAGGAGTTCCTGCCTTAACAGAGCTGCCAAGTCAAATCCAAAGCATTTTCATTCAGTAGAAGTCCCACAAATGAAAGGTTGCATTAGGAAGCTATAATTAAGAACCTCACTTGTGTCAAGCCAAATTGCTGCTGGTTTCATATCCTTTATTTCTTATCTCAACAAATGAACCACAACACCACCAAAAAGGAGAAGCCAAAGCCACAACAGAAGGATCACCTACAACTCACATTATCCATCCTTTCAGCAGCCAATGCGCTCCATAATCTCATCAGTCCGATCGTATCACGGCAACAAAGGCTTTACACACACTGAGATGAAATTATACCATAACTGGAATTAAATATCTGAGTCATTGAGGGGCTCTGTGGAACAGCTAATGAATGGAAAAAACAATTGGAAGCAGTTAAGGTTTTGCTGAACCGAACCAAAAAGGAAAAATACAGGAGAGAGCTCTGCCTAAGGCAGAGAGAGAGGCCACACGTGAAATACACACACACACATTTCTAATTCATAATTTTTGAGGAAGTAATGGAAAGAGACAATATCAGAGTCCCTCAGCTCTAGCATTTCTTTAACATATCCTGTTACATGGAGGAATTTCCTCTTTTTGTTCCAAAAAGGGAAACCAGTGTCTCCTGCTTTTAACACATTAAAGATCTGCTTTGGCTTCGGTAACAACGCAATGTCAGCAGTTTAAGAGCACGTTCCTCATTTCAATTCTCCAAAAAAGAGCCTCTGGATTTCCCTGATGCATTTTGGAAAGATGTTTGATTAAGCTGCAATCTGGCCTTTTAAAGGAGAGCAGTGTGCTGCCAGGACTGACTGCCAGCTCCAGCCGCCAGCAGCTCTCCAGGGAAGTCACAAAGTTAGCAGTGGGAAGAGAGAGGAAGCTTTGGGAGAAACCAGGATTAATTTGAGTAACAAACCTCCAGCATGGCCAAAGCAGCACTAGAATGAAGAAGGCAGTAATAAGGTATGTGCCTTACTGACTTTTTTTTCCCTGAAGAAAGAGGGATAGCAGGAAAACGACATAAATTTAAAAGTAAATAAATTCTCAACATCTTCCCATGACAGGCTGAGACCAATTAGAGTTATTTGCTGTGGTGCAGCAATGCTAAGGAGGTAATTGTGTTTTGTAGTGTTAGAACACGACTCCACCACACTGATTCCTTTGAAACACAACACTGCCACATCTCCTCTGCCTGGGCCTTCAGAAGGGAAGAGAAGCTGCCAACTTCAGGGGAAAACACGTGTAAAGGAGCAGGGAAAACCCCAGCCCCAGGAGCTGGGGAACTGTTCTCCATTAGGGAAAAAGGCTTCTGCACATTTGGTGGAAACCACTGCTGGCAGCAAGTGGAGGTTGCATTTAATGGCTGGAGAGGGAGGAAGGAGTTAAACCATTAATGTGACATCTGCTGAACAGCTGCTTTTCTCTCAACTGGTCCTTACTGCAAGTCCTACAGCCCTCACACAGAACCACATCTTCAGAAAATGGACAACTCTGACTTCAAAAGTCTTCTG